CACATGGCATTTGCCGCATGGTGCCTTCTGTCTGTATGTAGTTCATCTCCCACCCGAGGCTGTGACTTCTCTGAAGGCAAAGACTGTGCCTCTGTACGCTGTATTTCCCAAAGTCCCTCAGTAAAACTCACTGGAAGACTGTTTATTGAGAGAAAGCAGCCTTTTGGCTTGACTCCCACTCCCCAGGGGTGGCAGAGGCTCACAAGGAAATGAGGCAAGAAGGTCTGGTGGCCACAAAACACACATATGCACGAGGCGGCAGCAACACGCACAGGCGTACCCATCCGCCTACGCGTACCCATCCGCCTACGCAGAAGGCCGGCTCCTAAGTTCTGCCCGTTTTAAAGCAGCTGAGGATCAATGACAAAAAAATTAAGTGGAATTCGGCAAGCACTTCATCCCTCGTGGAGGTTTGGATTTTTCAAAGCTTGGGTTGTTTTATTCTATGGACCAAAGACTTTAAAAAAAACTTACAGGGAAAGACTGGATAAGTCTTCTAACTGAAATACGAGGTTTCCCTTACCTGTGAAGCATAAGGAATAACACGGAGGACATTGGGAGATGGAGAGAAGTGAGTTGGGGGAAATTGGAGGGAGAGACAAACCACGAGAGACTATGGACTCTGATAAACAAACTGAGGGTTTTAGAGGGGAGGGGAGTGGGGGGATGGGTGAGCCTGGTGGTGGGTATTAAGGAGGGCACGATTGCTTGGAGGATTAGGTGTTATACATAAACAATGAATCTTGGAACACTACATCAAAAACTAATGATGTACTGTATGGTGACTAACCTAATACAATAAAAACTGAAAATAAAAACAACAGAGAAATCCTAAAAAAAAAAAAAAATCAAATAAATAAAGAGGTTATTCTCAAGAAAAGGTCATGATCATCATCTATTCTCGAAAAACTCTACGTTAGGTTTCAGAAAGTCTAGAATCAGGGGCACCTGGCTGGCTCAGTTATTAAGCATCTGCCTTCAGCTGAGGTCATGGTCCCAGAGCCTAGTGATCGAGCCCCACATCGGGCTCCCTGCTCAATGCGGAGCCTGCTTCTCCCTCTCCTTAGGCCATTCCTCTGGCTTGTGCTCTCTCTCTCTCTCTCTCTACCTCTCTGTCAAATAAATAAATAAAAATCTTTAAAAAAATAAAGTTACTTCACTTCCTCAAAAAAAAATTTATTTCACAAGAATCCAGGGGTATTGTGGGGTGCCTGGGTGGCTCAGTTGGTTAAACGACTGCCTTCAGCTCAGATCATGATCCTGGAGTCCCAGGATCAAGTCCCCCATCGGGCTCCCAGCTCCATGGGGAGTCTGCTTCTCCTTCTGACCTCTCCCCTTTCATGCTCTCTCGCTCTCAAATAAATAAATTTCTTAAAAAAAAAAAAAAAAGAAAAGAAAAACAAGAATCCAGGGGTATCTCTTTGTACAAAACTTTAAATATGAGAAAAAAAACTAAAAAAAAAACCAAAAAACACAGTGGGTCACCTGAGTGGCTTAGAGTCCTGGGATCAAGCCCACAGCTCCCTGCTCAGTGGGGAGCCTGCTTCTCCCTCTCTCTCTGCCTGCTGCTCCCCCTACTTGTGTTCTCTCTCTGTGTCAAATAAAGTAAAATCTTTAAAAAACAAAACAAAACAAAAAAACCTTCGTACTCTATATTACTCGTACAGCAATGTCTGTATCATAAAAAAGAAAGAAAGAAAGTCTGGATCCAAGGGGGATACCGTTCTATTATGTAGGTGGTGCTGTCTCATGAGGACGTTGTTTCTCCCATCTAGAAAAAACAAATCTTCCTGTAAAAGGAAAACTTTTTTCCCCCTCCAACATACCACCCAAATGTGGTTCTCCATTTGTGTGGCAGGAACAACTGTGACTCAGGGAGAAGAGGATGGTGTTCTCATCATCTTCTGTGCTATGACCTGATCGCCTATCTTGATCCAACTTGGAATCTAATTGGAAAAGTAAAACTCGGAGTCCGGGTGTGATTGTTCATGGAATGGACTGATTTCAGAAGATGAGGGCCAACCTACCATGCCACTTCCTTCCACAGACCTACCATAATCATCTCTCCAAACACAGGGAGGCAGCCTCTGGCCCGGCCCAGGTTCAGGCAGATGTCCCCCTCAAACAGTGGTGGTGCCCTCCTCTCCAGTTCAAGCTGCCATCACTGCAAGGCTCAAGTTAAGCAAAAATCCCCTAGACAGTCTCGCTGAATCTGGGCTCTCCGGGGGCCGAAGGAGTATACTTGTCTGTGCCAAATCAAGTAGCCATGATTTGCCAACTGCCAAACCCACGGGTCTCCCTTCAGCCTTCACGTCATCTGACCTCTCTCTGAAACTGCTGGAATCACATTGCACTTCTTTTTGAAATCCTTTCTCTCCCCTTGGCTGTCCTGACACAGCCCCTCCCGATTCTCCTATTTCCTTTGCTGGCTCTGCTTCCACGGGCTGCCTGATGCTCTCATTCTCCCCTCTTCCCTCCTCTGCCCTCTTTCCCTCTCTTTCTACTTTTTCTGATCAAGAGCATCTACTGCTGTAGCCTCAGCTTGCCCTGTGTATGTAGATCCTCCCAAACCAGCCGCCTTCCCGAGCTCGGGCTCCACTTCCCACCTGGCTGCTGAGTATCTCACTGTGACGCTCGTGGCCACCTCCCACAGGCAATGATCCGGCCTGTCTTCTGAGCCAAACTCAGCAGCTTCTCCTCCCTTCCCCCATCAGCCTGCTCTTCCTCTTAGTTCCCTATTTCAGCTACCCTTCCAGGTCATGCCCTATTCAATTCAGCCCTTCCCTCAGCTTCTCACTCCGTACTCTACTACAGGTCACCAGTTCTGTGTGTCATTTCTGCCACATTCCAACCGCCATGGCCAATGCCCTCAGTGTCTCTTGTCTGACAGGATAATGGCCTGAGTGCTCGGCACCTTTAGTCTTTCTATCAGTCCGACCCGTCCTCCTGAGTTTCTCACTTCACAACATCAGAGTACGTCACCACCTCACTCAAAACCTTCTAATAACTCCCGAAATTCCTTGATACCTGGGCCCAGATTAACCTTCCAATCCTATTACCAGGCAAGACCAGTCTGTCCTGAGGTGCCTTCTGTCCAACCCTAACCTCACGGGTCCAAAGGGAAACTATAGTGTTCTGTGAGGAGTCTCACAGAGGCCCTCTCAGCTCCCAGTCCTCAGATCAATACATGTGGAGGCCCAGCACAGGGTTCTCTACCATTCCCCTTGAAATCTACTTGGTAAACTCATCTTCATGCTTCAAAGACAAGACAAATGTTACTGTCTCTCTGCAGCCTTCCCTGACAGTGGCAGAACCCCTGATCTGCCTCATTTGTTTCCCCAGAACTGTGTTCCTGCCTCTATGATCATCTGTCCCTGCCTACTACAGGATCCCCGTGTCTCCAGAGGGCAGGGACTAGCAGTGCTCACTCACACATCATGAGTGTCCAGCACAGTGCCACCAGACTTCTCACAGGAGCTCTCGAAGTGCTCCAATGGCACAAAGCTAAATTTGTACTCTGATGAAAGCAGCAAGTTTGAAACAGAGAAATTCCAAATGGAGAATAAGGTAGCTCCATTCAAAGGTTTTCTTTTGCTGAAGGCCTTCCTGACGTCCCTTAAGTCTCACAGACAAGTGGTTGCCTGTTCTGCCAGGAAGCGAGGACTCCGTCCTCCCCTTAGCCATGTCAGCCTTCTCTCAGAACACAACAGATGTGTTCTTAAGGCCTGAAAGAGCCCTGCTGTGACCTCACTGTGGCCCACTGCTTCACCGTCCCCAATGTCAGCTACTCATGGGCTTGCCACATCAATGGCCAAATGAATCTAAAATTTCATCAGAAACATGAGCTCAAAAGGTCCCAAGGAGCCCTAAGCAAAAACACACATTCTGAAGTTAACAGAATTAATTAATAATAAATTGAATTCCATTTTAACTTTTTCAAAAGCTCCAATTTCGGATATCTAGGCTCCTGATGGCCTAGGTACACTGGTTCCCTTCCCCTGTAGCCCTCAAAACCATCTCAAGCCCTTAAATCACTTCATTGTTAGGTAAGCTAGTCCCCATCTGAAGACCCAGGTCCAAGGGATACTTGAAAAAGTCCCAGGCCAGTGGCTCAGTTCTGTCAAGCAGTGACATCTGCTGATCCATACTGTGTACCAGAGACTGTGTTCGGCTATCGGGAAGACCTAGTCCCTGCTCTCAGGGAGCTTCTGTTTCAGAGACACAGACATGTAAACAGAGCAGATATGAATGTGAACAAAGAGATCTGTGGTAGGAGTGTATGCAGTCCGTGCGGGATGGCACGGCTGGCCACGGGGCACAAAGCCCTGTGCTGACCCTGTCCTTGGCTCCAAAACATGTTCATGCCTCTGTCAGTCTGAACAAGTATTTATGGAGCCTCTACTGCCAAGTTCCTGCCCTCGTGGATCTTACACTTGGGTTTGTTTTAGCAAATGCATCCCCATCTTGTTCTTCCATACAGAGTACCTTCCAGAAAGCACCATTTCTCTAGGATGAGGGCTTGCTCTTTTCCTCAGCCAGACCTTCCAGGAACTTGAGTTCTGTCCACGGAATTCAGGTCCTGCTACTGGGGCACTCGCCCTGATGCTGAGTGTCCATACCTGCCTGTCCTTCCCCTGTGGACTTGTGGCTGGAACTTCTGATATCGTCCCTAGCCCACTGTGTCTCTGTGGCCTTATGTGTACACTATGGACAACAACATTATCTTCCTCCATGGGATATTATAAGGACTAAATGAGACTGGCTTGGAACAGGCTAAGTACTCAATAAATTAGCTATCATCATTACCTTTATTTCTAAGATGCCACACTGCCTGCCTCATCCATGGACTTTCCCGCCTTTTGCTGAGGTGTGAGTTGGGGGCAGGAAGGGCCCTCCCCCGCATCCCCTGCTCCTGCTATCCCCACCCCACCATGCTTGTAGGTTGGGTAGTTTGGCTCCCGAGGGCTGGTCCACCACACCCAGCGGGGGGAGCCACAAACCTCTCAGTGTCAGGTAGCCATAAGCCAGGCTGGCCACGGCCTGTGCACATTTCCAGTGTTCTTCCCCAAAAATAATCCGAGAAAGGATGACACAGCGTATCAGCTCCTTGTTTGCTTGGGTATTCTGCAGAGAGCAAAGACGTCATTATGCTTTTTGGAAAGGAGGGAAAGCTCTAGCTCAGGCTCTTCTCACGGGAATATAGGACTGAATTCACCTTTTATCATTTTCTCTTCTTTCCCCTTCCCATTCCGTGACCCATCCAGCAAGGCCTGGTGGCTGTCCCTTATTCCCAGGCCCTCACACTAAGCTCTGCTCCTTGCTTCTGCCATGAGTACGTGGTTCAAAGCGCCCTACCTTCCACAGGCCTGACCAAAACAGCTGTTCCTAACTGCTCCCACTCTTGCCCCTCCCCCTGTCTACTCAACCTCATAGCCACAGGGACTTCTTTTAACCTTTTACTGTGAAAAACTTTAGCAATATACAAAAATAGCATAAAGAAGGGTTCACTTAGTTTCATGAAGTATCCACTCATGGTCAATTTTGTTTCCTATCTACCCTCCTCATCTACCCACCATCTCTATTATTTTGAAGTAAAATCAGATATTAAATCATTTCATATCCCATAAGTGTCTCCCAAAGACATGGACTTAGGCTTATAACTGGAAAACCACTCTCACCAAATACTAACAATAATTCTGTAATGTTCAGTATCTAGTCTCATAAGTCTAATAATTACCTTTTTTTTTTTTTTTTTTTACAGTCTGCCTGTCCATACACTGATATCAGTCTCCTGAATCTTTTTCCATCTGTAGGTTCTGCCTCCATCTCGTCATTATGCAAACTGGCCGAGGACTTGTCAAGCCTTAAAAACGCTCAGTTGTCCTCTATGGCAGATGGTACTTCTCTGTTTCTAAAAGCAAACGTTCCAGCCTGGCTCTGTGAAATATGAATGGGTACAGGCCAAGACGACTGTCTTCTCAAGGCCTCTGGACGATTTACAGAGGTACATTTATAGATCTACCCAAGAGGGGTATCAGATTCTATCATCTGCCTGTGAGGTATCTCCTAGCCTTTCCCAAAGCCATCTACACACCTCTTCTCCACACCTGACGTTAAGCTCATTTTCCCCTGGCCAGGAAGTCAGTGTATGAATTCCTCAGTGGATGAATCACGCTCCGGGAGCGTGTTGGTGCCTGTGTTCTAATAATGACGGCCACCGTCATCCTGTCTCAGGCTCCTGGATTTTGAACATTCTGATCTTGTTCTTCTGTACAGAGTTAAGAGCACTTGCCCTGAGGTCCAAGTTACCAAGTCTCTGCCTCACTCTGAGAAATGCACCCCTGGACTCTGACCTCTGATGCTACATCCCCTTTCTGGTGGTTTAGTTTGCTTATGAGTCCACTGAACCCCTGGCATCTGAGTCTGGGCCTCAGTTTGGCTGCCCTTGTTTTCAGTCTCCTGCCTCACTATCCTGGCCTTCCTGTTACCCAAGAAATCTCATTCTGAAACCTCTCAGGAGAAATTTTTTTTTAAAAAGTTTTTTTAATTAAAGGTAATCAAGGGGTGCCTGGGTGGCTCAGGCACATTGGGCGTCTGCCTTCGGCTCAGGTCATGATCCCCTGGTCCTGGGATCAAACCCCATGTCAGGCTCCCCGGTCAGCGGGAAGCCTGCTTCCCCCTCACCCACTCCTCCTGCTTGTGTTCTCTTTCTCACTGTCTCTCTCTCTGTCCGAAAAACAAATAAAATCTTTTTTAAAAAATGAAAGGTAATCAAACATCAACACAAAAAACAAAACATACATTTTCAGTTTAAAGCCAGGAGCACAAACCCTCCATGGAAGAAAGCAGAGCCAACCAGGTGCGGAACCCAAGGGCAGGGCGGCTCCCCCACTATGCTCTGCCTTGTTCCCTTCCACTTACAAAGAAATACAACAACTTCCCCTACTTTGAGTCCTTCAATGTCCACTGAAGGCAGAGCTTCTGTCTTCATGGACATATTTTTAAAAGGAAACTAAAACCTCGTGGGGTTTATGTTTTACCATCTTTTTCTTAATCAGCTGAGCTATTTTCTTCTGGGATTGGGCTAATTTCTCTTTAGGAAGAGACATGCAGCCTATGGTGTTCTCCTTGGCTGTAGTGTCTTCTTCACTCTCTCCAGACCCGCTAGAGGAACACAATTCGTCTCTTTGCTGGTATGCTGGGATCTTGGCTTGCTGGGACCTGTAGATACCAGAGAGAGATGCGGATTCAGATTTGACCTCTGAGTATCTCAAAGCAGGGGGGTAGGGATATGTGCTCTAACAGAAACTTGAAGGAATAAAGTCTGGAGATAAGTTCACATTCCCCCTTGAAGCCCAGAATCAGGACAGCAATGTGTGATTTAGATGAAACAGATCTGTTAAACCACCCACTTCCATCAGAGTCCCAGCCCTGCTACTTATTAACCACATGACCCTAAGCAAGTTATTTGTTTCTTTGTAAAATAAGGTCAATCAGAGGAGGTGACTGGATTAAATCAGATGATACTCATAAATCACTTAGCTATTTGGTAAGTACTATTTTAATATTAGCTACTTTTATTTTATTAGCTCCATGACTGGGTTTCTTCTTCTACAAAACAAAGGTATTGAATTGGAAGATCTCAAAGATCTTTTACATTCTAAAATTCTGATCCAATCCAGGAAAGAAAATCAATATAATGAAATAATGGGAAGGGAATTAATAGTTTGAGGCTAGACTTCACTGTCCTCTTTCATGTTTCTTATAAGTAGTGGCTAACTAAAGAGGATATGGTCCCAACAAGGAGAGGGGAGGGAACCCCACAGGTCAAGAATAGATTCCAAAGCAAATGGCCTTCCCAATTGTATTAGAAATAAATGCGTTGAAAAAGAGCTGAGTGGCTGAAAATCTACCCCCCACACACACTTGTTTCCCTCCCTCCTACCTCTCTCCTTCCCTCCCACCCCCTCATTCCCCTCCCCTCTCTCCTTCCTGCCCCCTCTCCTGTCTCACATACACAATGTAGATCTCTAACTTTGATGCTGAACATGATTATGAACGGGTAATTGGAAATGGTAAAGATAAAAGTCAAAGGAGGTAATCTTACACAAAAAAAGGCATAACCATGTCTTAACATCGCCAGAAAAATCAAAGTGATCCAGAAAAAATAGAATTCTGAAATCTTAAGAGTGGCAACAGAATGTTTAATTAATTATAAACAAGTCTTCCAAAGGAATCACCTTTGTATACACAATTTTAAAAGTTATACGACTTTTAAAAGTTCAACCACTACATAGTTTTAAGAACAATATTTATTTCCCTTTTCCACTGATTAGATAAGTAATAGATGTTTACTGTAGAAAGAAAAAAAAGAAGCAGAAAAACAAATGTCAAGTGTAATCTTTTACGCTAGGTTTGAAAAATGACATGTTAATATCCATTCAGAGTTCCTGTTCTAAATAACCTACCCAGAGGCACATGAGCAAACTGGGTCACATGGAAGGGAAGCAACACTTCTCCAGGCCCAGAAAACTTCTGCCCACAAACAGAAGTGTGCTTTCAGAAGACATGCAAACTCAGTGGAAAAGCCAGAGAACATGGCTGATGCAAGGCGATCAGAAGGTGGGTGCTAAGCTTGCCTCCTTTCCACCTGGCGAATTCCATGCTCCCAACTCAGATGTCACCTCTGCTGGAGTCCCGTACTAGAGTAGCAAAGTAGAGACACCCTTTAAAGGACTTGCAAAAATTTCCTCCAAACTTCTACTACAGTGCAAATCACGTTATAGTCACATGTTCAAAATTCATTCGTTTTGTTTCTGAGTCATCTTTGACTCAGCAAAATAATCTCTACCAGGGCTGGGGCTAAATCTCATTTGTTCCTGAAACCCTGATATCTGCCTTACCATAAAGATAAATAATGGCTCATTAAATGCACAAATGAATGAAAAAAGAAAACACAGTCTTTAGAACACTTGAAAAATACTGAAGATAGAGGGAATCTGTGGCAACAGATCCTGAGTCAAGAAAACTAACAGAAACTTGAGTCCCTCAATAGAAGATTTTGCCTAGGCTGCATATTTCATAGACCTGAAACAGAAGTTCAATCTCCTGGGATCACCAAGGACTGCCAATCATGGATCTTAAAAATTATAAGCCCTAAATATTTTAAGTTCAGGCTTCGATAAATTAAGCTGACACCAAAAGCAGGAGCTTCAACAGCAGCAACCTCAAAAGAAGGAGAAACACTGAGGTCTTGACTACTGACTTGAGAATGCAAAGCCCTAAACTAGCTTTGAACATCTTGTCATGAAAGATAAGAAAGGTAACTGGAGAATACTGACCAGTCAGATCACGTGAAAGATAAAATAATAGTCAGAATAAAAAGAATAGGCAGGTTGAATGAAAGGTATGCCACTTCTTAACTTCAATTTTTAAAGTTATACAACTTTTGGGCGCCTGGGTGGCTCAGTGGGTTAAGCCGCTGCCTTCGGCTCAGGTCATGATCTCAGGGTCCTGGGATCGAGTCCCGCATCGGGCTCTCTGCTCAGCGGGGAGCCTGCTTCCCTTCCTCTCTCTCTGCCTGCCTCTCTGCCTACTTGTGATCTCTGTCTGTCAAATAAATAAATAAAATCTTTAAAAAAAATAAAGTTATACAACTTTTAACCTCAGGATATTTTATGAGGTGGTACAAAATTACTAAAATGTTAACCACTAGTCACATGTGGCTATTATGCACATGAAATGTGGCTAATCTGAAATGAGATATGCTATAAGTATAAAATACACACTGAATTTCAAAGACTTAGAGGAAGAAAAAAATAAAAAATATTTCACTACTTATTTTATAAAATATTACAGATAGTTTAAGATAAATATAGTATTAAAATTCAATCTACCTATTTCTTTTTTATTTTTTACTATGGCTCCTGGAAAACTTAAATACATATGTGGCTCGCATTTGTGACTTGCATTATATTTCTATTTGATAACACTGGCATAGATCAATCGTTCTCAACCAAGGGTGATATTGCCCCCAGGGGACATTTGGCAATGTCTGGAGACCTCTTAGTTTGTCATTACTGGGACAGAGCTACTGGCATCTACTGGGTAGAGACCAGAAATGCTGCTAAACATCCTACAATACATACATCAGCTTTCTACAACAAAGAGTTAGCCAACCGAAAATGTCAACAGTGCCAAAGTTGGTATAGAAAAAACCCGGGTATAGAAAAATGGTTAAAGAATTGACTCTGTAATCCGGGTACGCAGTCTGAATCACTAGCTGTGGGATTTGGGGTCAATTACTTAACCTTTTTCTGATTCATACTCCTTATTTGCAAAATTATAATAGTATAATAGTACTACCGGTACAGAGATATTGGGGCAATTAGATGACTTAATAAATGTCAATACTTTGAACAGTGCCGGGCACATAGTATTTACTCAGTAAGTAAGTAATATCTATTATGTGAAAGTTTTAGTTTATTATCACCTCTTTATTTCATGAAGCAATTTTAATTTCCTCATTATCTTTATTGTAGTTAATTCTCCATGACTTCATCAATCTTGTTATAATTAACCTATCTATAAAAAATAAAATTTCCCTTCGGTTGGGAAAAAACAATTATGTTCCTTCTTGCATGGCTTGCATAAGTACAAATGGATCACATAATTGTTAATTAAACCACACCACAGAAGCTCAAATTCCTCTTCAATATAATATGCATGCAAAGCTCCGTAGCCCAGGTTTGCCATAAGTGGGAGGTCCTAGTATTCTAGGCCAGTAACTGTGGGTGATGTCAAGCTTCTGTGGTACTTACAGGTGGAAGCAGAAGTCCCAGTCGGTGTCATTGCTGACAGTTGGAATGCGGATGGGGCTGGCTTTCATCTTCTTACTGCCAAGAACTACAAGTCAGAGTGGCTTTAGGGAAAAAAAGACTTAGAAGTCTATTTTCTCTCTGTAGGAGGCTATTAACATTAAATTGAAACTGCCCAAATATATAACCCATCTGAAATAAATAAACAGACTTCCCACACTCATGTACAGAGATACCTAGAAGGCAGAAATTAAAGGCATTTGTCATATTAAAACTCTGAATTAAATTTCTTTCTCCTAATTTCTATTCCTGTACATCCAAAATCCTTGACTTTTTTTTTTTTTTAACCCCCTGAAAGCCACTATATTTAGAACTCCCAATTCATCAAGACTGTGTTCTCCTGGGACATCTGGGTGGCTCAGTGGGTTAAAGCCTCTGCCTTTGGCTCAGATGATCTCGGGGTCCTGGGATGGAGACCCGCACCGGGCTCTCTGCTTAGCGGGGAGCCTGCTTCCTCCTCTCTCTCTGCCTGCCTCTCTGCCTACTTGTGATCTGTCTGCCATATGAATAAATGACATCTTTAGGGGGGAAAAAAAAAGACTATGTTCTCCTACTTAAGTCAGATATTGTTTCTGCCGGATGGAACCAAGCAAAGCAACTAGTTCAAAGCATCAAATGAACCATAGCCAGTGTATCAGTAAATTCTCCCTGTCCCTAGGGCCATCCCACTATTAATAAGAAGTCCTAGTTAAGGAACACACATGCGTCTATTTGGGTATTGTCCATAGCTGATGGGGGAAATGACTGAAACCTCAGGACAAAAATCTTATTTATAATTATTTGCAAAATTCAGTTCTCACAGCTCTCCCTATCACTTAAATCAAATCTAAACCGAATGCATAGTTATGTACTGACCATCAACACCCACCAAGTCGCTCTTCATTTCACCCTGCAGAATCATTTCCACCTGAGCTCTCAGTAGCTCTTACACAGGCTCCAGAACATCCACAATCCAAACACCAGAAGATTAATTTCTCTTTCTAATCTCTACTTTAAAAACTATGGCCAGGGGCGCCTGAGTGGCTCAGTGAGTTAAGCCTCTGCCTTTGGCTCAGGTCATGATCTCAGGGTCCTGGGATCCAGCCCTATATGGGGCTCTCTGCTTAGCGGGGAGCCTGCTTCTCCCTCCCCTCTGCCTGCCTCTCTGCCTACCTGTGATCTCTCTCTTTGTCAAATAAATAAATAAAATCTTAAAACAAAAAACAAAAAACAAAACAAAACAAAAAAACTATGGCCAGGGCGAGGAGTTTTGCGTTCTCAACCTCCTAAATTCTGTTCTGTGACATGCCATATGGCCCTGAATAAATTATAACACCAAACTTTGGCCCCTCTCTCAAATGCAAATCGCTTCCTTCTTCCTTTCCCCGCAACTTCGTAAACCCAGACGCCACATTCTGAGCCCCAGGCGAGCATCCCGAGTCTTCTTTCTTGCGGGTGGTGCCCCCTTCACAGAGGCTCCAACTGGAAACGCACCCGCGGGGAGAAGTGAGGCAGCGGCTGGGCTGCCCCGCCGGCCGAGGGCAGAGAAGCCACGCCCCGGAACTAGCCTTTCCGGATCCCTCTGCCGAGAGCTCGGCTTCCTTGCGCGGCGTCCGTGTCCTGGCTTCAGCGGACTTCGTTTAGGGCGCCGCCGCACAGGTGCGTGGCGGAAGCGAGGCTCTCTGCGCGGTAGGCCTGGCGCGCCGGCAGCCCAGGTTCAGGCTTGGGAGATAATGGGGTTGCCATGGGAACGGAACGCCGCCGGCAGACTCGGGAGCGTCGGTGCCAGTAGCCATGGCGACGCGGGGCACTTCCGGTCCGGAAAATCTCGGGCCGCTCCCGGGCGCTTTGGGACCATCCCGGGCGCTTACGCCGCACCCTAGGCTTTCCGGTCTCCGCGGGCGGCACGCTCGCACAGTGGAGCTCGTCGCCAAGTTTCCCTTTGCTCCGGTTGCGTCGTCCGCTGCTGTTTTTCTGAAAGGGTCTTTAGCTTTCAGGCACGAAGATATAGGAAGAGGAGCGAAATCCCGTCTCAGGATAGAAGAGGGCGCAGGGCTCCACGACCCCACTTACGTAAAGCTGCGGCGTACGGGACTAAATGGGCGCCCCTTTCGGCGCCCCTTCGCGCACCGTGCATCCCCGAAGTCCCCCAGGTGTTCTGGCTCTCCGGACTGGAGAGGAAAGGCCCCGAGGTAACTGTTGATGGTGTCAGCACCGTCTGTGTTGCCTCTCCCGGTAAGTTCTGAGCTACGCTTGATCAGGAAAGTGGGAGTGCAAGAAATGAATAGTTTGAGCAATGGGCCACTAATTCAGCTACTGATTAGCAGTTCCAACAATATTCTCGGGGGGTGGGGCACATTGGGCAAGCACCACATAGCCCTAATTTTTGCAGCATGTATTCTTAGACCATTCCTCTTCAGGAGCCTGAAGTGCACAATGATGATAATTCAGATTTGACGGGTGCAGGGCAGTTGGGGCCAGTACCCAAACCAACAGTACCACTTCTGCGGCCTGGTGCCCAAGGGTGAACAGTGAACGAGGGCCCTATGACAAGTCAAGTTGAAGATGGTATGCCCTTGTTAAAAGAAAAGAAAAAAAAAAAAGGCAGGCTCGGTAGAAAGAAGAAAAATATTTGCTAAGAACTTGAAAGGTGGTGTTTACATCTGTTTGTTCTTTCCAGTTCCAGGTTGAAGTTTAATTGCTGTTGATCCAAGACTGCCAAGATAGATTTTCTGCAGTTAGGTTGGAAGTGCTATTTAAATGAGTTTGTTTAAATATCTCTCAAGTGAAACCTGAAGGGCATTGTAACTTATGGTTTAAATCTGTACCCTCAAGATCCTGCACCAAAATTTTAGAAAGATCCCACCCCCTTTATTCTGTTTCCTAAGAGAACTCCCAGCATGGAACAAAGGTGAGAGCCATGAGCTCCACTTCAAGATTGCAGGGCTCTGGTTTTGACTCCATGTGGCCTGGGCCAAATCATAGCTCTGGAGTCTGTTTTCTTGCCCAGACAATGAGAGTATTTGTTAGCACTTGCTTTCCACAACCCCTCCCAGTCCCCAGGATTCTGTGCGGCAAACCGCAGATTTTTGTGAGTATGAACGTATTTAACACATATGGGGATAAAAAGGAAGAACTGGTTTCCTGTTCCCTAACACCGATTCTCCCTTATCCTTGTTAAGTTGGTCTTCATCACCCTGAAAAGTTTTAATGTTCTCATTTTATGAATTGGCTGGGAGGTTTTTTTCTAAGTATATGAAATGTAACTTCTGGTTCCTGAACACCAGCTTCTGCCCATCACTGCGAAGTGAGGTAACAGGACAATCCCTGAATTCCCATTCTAAAAATGACAGTCTGGTTTCAACTCCATTTAATTAGCTTTGACCTTGGGGCGCCTAGGTGGCTCAGTTGGCATTTGCCTTTGACTCAAAGTCCAGGGTTCGAGCCCCACTTCAGGCTCCCTGCTCAGCAGGAAGTCGTCTTCTCCCTCTGACCCTCCTCCCTCTCATGCTCGCTCCCTCTCTCAAATAAATAAATAAAATCTTTTAAAAATAATAATAATTAGCTTTGACCAGAAGCAATTCACCTGTAAAATTAGAGGTCAAATTAAAAAAAAAAAAATGTTAAACTCTTAGAGTTCCAAACCTGTGTGCTGTTTTTTTTTCCTTGCCTTGCCATCTTCACCCTTATATATAAGGTTTATATAAATATAAACCTTAGTTACAGGTAAATGTGCTCTAGGTTTGTTCAGTAACTCTGGAATGGGATGCTGGTAATCTGGGTGGACATTGCCTTTATAGTGTGTTCCCTCACAGTCCCTCACTTGATCCTGAGGTAGAAGAGGCAAGCACTGCTGTTGCAGAATCGCGTAGGAGAAGCATGCGTACAGGGTACTTCTAGATTCTTCCATCCCCAAATAAACTGTGATTAACTCCAAATTATTTTAACTGCAAGAACTGTGAAACTTAACGACAAGGAAACCAAATAAACTTTACTTTGGACTATCTAATTTCTTAAAACACATTTTCTGTCCTCTTAAGACAAGGTTGACACCTTACTTCTGAGTTCCCGTACTACGCCCTCCGCAATCTCATCTTGATGGTCACAATTATATTGGCATTCTCTGAGTTTTTCTTTTTTTAATATTTATTTGACAGAGACAGTGAGAGAGGGAACACAAGCAAGGGGAGCGAGAGAGGAAGAAGCAGGTTTCCCGCTGGGCAGGAAGCCCAATGCTGCGGGGCTTGATCCCAGGACCCAGGGATCATGACCTGAGCTGGAGGCAGATGCTTAACGACTGAGCCACCCAGGTGCCTTCTCTGTGAGTTTCCCACACTCCCCATGCATCTGTCCTTCCACCCCGGAAAAAATGCATGTTGAAGAAGACCTGCTACGTGCCCAGTACTGTTCTAAGTGTTAGGGAAGCAATAGTGAACAGACAGACAAAGATTTTGCTCTTCTGGAGCTTCTAGGTGAAGAAAAACAGGACTACTAGTAAATAGTCTGATATCTCTCCAAGTTAGAAAAAGGCATAGAGCTTGGGAAATAGGCAACAACTTTGTGTGAATTAGAAAAAAAAAGTGACCCTCTTCCTCTATCCAGACCCAGTCCCCTCCTAAGCAGTAAAGCTATGGGAACAGAAGGTGGGCTAGGTTTTAGGACTCCCTTTTAGGACTTTCTCAGCTGGGTAAACCACCTTACATGGAAGTAATAAATTATATGGAGAAAAACAAAGCCAGATAAAGGATCTAGAAAGTATAGGGTATGCTAGCTTCTACAGTGTAGTTAAGGAAGGCTTCTCTGACAAGTTGGTATTGAGTAAATAAAAGGAGCAACCAATACAAATGTCAGGTTTAAGAGCATTCTAAGATAATAGCAAGTACAAAGGCTCTGAGAAAGGAGCAAGTTTGGTGGGTTCAAGGAAGAGCAAAAGGGGCAATTAAGAATGAGAAGGAGACAGAAGAATGGGTCAGCAAAAGAGCAAAGTGTGCAGGGCTCTATAGGCAATCCCTTCCTCTAAATATTCATCCACCCACCCATGAATACTGAATACCTACTGGGTGGTGGGCCATGTCTGATCAGTTGTGAACTCCTTGTAGGCGGTAGTGGTTATGATTTACCCTTGAGCTTTTAGCATTCAGCACAGTGTCTGGCTTATTATTAATGTTCACTAACACTTAAGAAACTTGCAACCATCTTCAGGAACGCTCCAGTAGCAGAGAGTCTGGCCCCTTAGTGTGTCTATCAGTTTCCTATTGCTGCCGTAACCAATGACCACAAACTTCGTGGCTTAAAACAACACAAGTTTATTATGTCCTAGTTCTGGAGGTCGGAAGTCTGCGATGGCTGTCTCTGGGCCAGAGACAAGATGTGGGCAAGGTTGATTCTTTCTAGAGGCTTTCAGGGTGGGGAGGGGGTTGTTCTCTTGCCTTTTCTGGCTTCTAGACCACCTGCGTTCTTGCTTTGTGGCCTCATTTTCCATCTTCAGATCTAGCAGTGTGGCATCTTTAAGTCTCTTGACTCTTGACTCCTCTTGCTTTACACTGTTAACACCGCCTCTCAGTGTATTTAACCTGACTTGATTTGCTTAGGTTTAAAAACATCCGGAAGTGACGTAGGGAGCACTTCCTACCTATCCTTCTCCTGTTCAGAAGCTCCCATTATTTGGCGGGGTCTCGCTCCTTTCTCTCCCATACACATTCCCATTTGTAATCCAGTACATCCCCTCTTAGGACTTGAATATCCTGTTTATTCCCATCTGGGGGCTTGGTTTATAATGAACGTGCAGGAGTATCTTCCCTCCACTCACCTCTTTCTCTTGGGGACTAACTCTTCAGAGGAGCCTCTCCATCTGCTGGAACCCGCATCGATTGCTCTCTCAACCCAGGGGCTCCAGTGGCCTACTTCCTGCAACCATTACCGTTGAGCTCCTATCCTTGGACTGTTTCACAGATAGGCAACTCTCATGCTTGAGTTCTTGGCCCTGAGCGGAGCATAAATTGCTCCTCTGAATGCCTTGGTCTGTTGCTTTGCCCAGCAACCCCCTCTTTGCCTTGCAGTTGACCTTTTAACTTTGCTCACAAAGCAGCACCCCAGTCTTTGCTGGAGAGTTTGTGCTGCTGTCAGCACCCCGCATTCCAGCTCTGCCACGTTGCGCGGGGTTGTGCTGACATGTTCTGCGAGCATTTCCCCCACACACAGCATGTCATGTGTTTATCTGAAGATGGGTGGGTTTAATTATTAAAGGCTTTGCAGTCTGTCTTCAAGTTTATGTAAGGAAAACAAATAGATGAGTCTTACTCCACCAATGTGAAGAAAAAGGCCAGTCTTTCTCACACGCTGTGATGACGCAGGCACTTTTTTCCCCTTTTTTTCTTTGCATTCTTGTACCACATGATGGATATTATTGCAGAATTAGGTGTGTGTGCCGACGGAGAACAACCAGAATCTCTCCAAGATAATTTAAGGTTTTTGTTTGTTTGTTTGTTTTACATAAGCTCTCCCCGCAACATGGGGCTTGAACTCACCACCCCGAAGAGCCACATGCTGTACCAACTGAGCCAGCCAGGGACCCCTTAAGTATCTTTTGAAGTATGGTCCAGAAGAGTGTATAAAGTATGCTTCTATATTTAAAGGGCAACGCTAAATACATGCCTACAGATACAGACAGACATGCAATGTCTCAGGTGATCCAAGAAACGGAACAGCTGTTGCCTCTGGAGAGGTGAACCAAGGATTGGGAGAAGAAAGATTTATTTTCAGTGTATTTCTGTTGACATCTAGTCATCAAGCCTTGGGAGTTTCTTTTCCTACCCCAGCTTCGGTATGAAGCATTTCTTTCTATTTAAGAAGACTGGTTTGGGGGTGCCTGGGCAGTTCAGTCGGTTAAGTGGCTGCCTTCGGCTCAGGTCATGATCTGGGGGTCCTGGGATCAAGCTCCCTGCTCAGCGAGGAGCCTGCTTCTCCCTGTCCCTCTGCCCGCATCTCCCTTTGCTTGTGCTTTCCCTCTGTCAAATAAATTAAAAAAAAAAAAAAAAAAGACTAGTTTGGGTGTAGCTTGGTTAAGTGCCCAGCTGAGTTGTGGTGTTTCTCCAAGAAATCATCTGAGTTGAACAGCTGGCCTCTGTTGAAGTAAGTTCTCACGGGGTGCATGCACTTGGTACACATAAAATAGTTAATAACTTCATGTGCCATTGGCATTGTTTTCATGGATTTCTTTTGTCTTTCCGTGGTTGGGGGGGGCATTCAAGGTCCAATTAAGCATGTACGGTGTGTAGTGACGAGAGCTGAAGTCGGTGTGGGAGAACCGTGTTGTGAGTGAAGGGAGATGGCCCGTTGTATTATGATGAAGAATGTTAGCTACTTAAATAATTGCACCCATTTCATTGTCATTTGGGTTTTTTTTTTTTTTTAGATATATTTATCCATTTTTAGAGTGGGGGAGGGACAGTGGGAGAAAATCTCTCAAGCAGACTGCCCGCTGAGCAAAGAGTCCAATGTAGGGCTCCATCCCACAACCCATGAGATCATGAACTGAGCCAAAACCAGGAGTCAGACGCTCAATGGACTGAGTCACCCAGACGCCCCATCATTTGCTGTTTTAATTATGACTCAACCTGTGAGAATTCACCCTCAAGAGTTCTTTAAGGAATGAATTATCCTTGTAATGTGATAGTTGATAGAAGGTATTTGGCTTATTTTTTTTTTTTAGCATGTGCGTGTATTGCCTTTTCCAAAAAGGAAAAGGAAAGAAGAGAAAAAAACAATCTAGCAGAAGCTTTTGAATGGTTACAAAGACTGCAGACACCCGAGAGGCAGTTTTGAACTGAAGAGCCATGAGACAGCTGTGCACTAGGGGCTGAGCTTGGGGCCGAGGTGCTAATCACCGGACCTAAAATAAGGGTCCTCCTGGGTTATCTGGGTGGGCGCCATGTAATCAGAGGGGTCGTCTAAAGTGGATGGGGGAGTCCAAGTCCGAGATTAAAGATGCTATGCCACAGCAAGGAGGTGACAGAGGACCACTGCCTGCCACTGCGTGTGACTTGGGCAAAAAACACCATCACACCCCAGCGCTACTGACCCACTCCTCGGGAGCCCCATACATATGCTCATGAATGTACCAAAACTCAACAACAGAGATGCAAAATGAAACAAAGTTTATTTTCTGCAATACCTTCTGTAAATTACAAAGGCAAAAATGCTAAACTACAGCATATAGCTTTTCAGTATTTAACCGGAGTACTTATAATAAATATGCATCCTGAAACAAGATGAAAGGCTACACTTTGTCAGGCATCCTACAAAATGTCTCAAGTTTTATACTCTGCAGCATTTCTGCACGGGGGCAGGAGTGGGGAGGGCTGCTTGTATTAAGGGCTGTGACAAAAAGTCCTTTTCACATTTCTTTGGAGCATTTTCGAAACGGCTGAACTATAAACAACTTTAGAAAAGTAACACCAAGCTTGAAAGCCATTTCTGCTTTGCTGTCCTTGGTCCTCGTCCAATAGAGATGAACACATCCTCCCAAACAGCCAAGCACCCTGTGCGCCCAGGCGGCCCTACGGTGCGTGGAGCACTGTCAGGCCAGGCCTCTGCCCCTTCAGTTACACACTTCGGAGCGGTCTGTGCTTGGCCGACATCCCTCCTTAACAAAAATGCCATAAGGAGCTGCAGGCAAGTTCAAACACTTTTAACCTGAAAGTAAAGTGAACAGAAATAACCCCCCCCCCCCCACACACACACAACATTTGCTCTGCACCATCATGTGTACCGTATGGGGATTCTCAGTTTCAACACTGGAAAAGAGATCGGTACTAACGGTCCCTCCCGAGATCGTTTATGGGCGCTGGTAATGCTGGGGCATTCAAAGATACGGGGTAAAAGGGAGGGTTTACCGTATTCAGAAATGTGCTACAGTTCTAAGGACACAATGGCAGAAAGTCTAGGGATACCGGTGGCAGCTCACGTAGAGTTTGGAATAGGAATAAATACATAACCACCCCTGGCTATAGCGGAAAACTCTGAAGAAAGAGGCTTTAAAAAAAGTTGCAAGCATGGTTACCTAAAAATACTTTGTTAATAGAGTCTAACAGATTTTGCTTATTTGGGGGTTTAGCTATGAAAACATCTTTAAGAGCCAATAAAAATATTGTAAAGAAAAAAACAACACTTTTAAAAAATTGAGGTTAAGAACCATGAGGCATTTCCTTTGTCTGTAAACACGCAGTTTACTGTCCCTTGTTGAAACACCAATGTCTGGATTCCTGAGCTTCACGGATAACAGCAGGAGGCCAGTTTGCATAGAAAATCTGCAATATGTCAACAATTTGCTAAAAAGAACTTCTCAGGACAATCGGCTTTTGTTCTTCAGCTTCGGATTTGAGTGAACAGGGCTCACCACACCGTGGGACCTGGGACCGAGGAGCAGCGGGCAGCGCGATGAGCTTTCTAAGGCAGATGGGGGGGGAATGACAGAATGAGATTTAAAATCCACAGGATATCATGATAAAGGCTCTTCAGCGTGCATGCCACAGAACTAGAGCCAGACTAATTGGGTCGGAAGTTGAATCGTGTTTTAGGATTGGAAACCAAAGGCAAGAAGAGCCCCCGCCGGTGCTGAACGCCTCGGCCTGAATGCGGGAACAAAGGCAACAAAGGCCGTCAGCTGGTCAGCCACCGAGGGGGGCGCCCACTGGCCAGCACCAGGACCAGACCCCCTGGGTGTGGCTGACCCCAGCTCTGGAATCTGAAGGGCTAACACGGTGTGTCACCTGTGCTGCTCTGAAGTCTCTGAGCGGTTCTGAGGAGGACAGTCTTCTCCGGGGCCTCAGAAAGTCTTCAGAAAGCTGCCTTTGGAAAGGGAAAAAGCTCTGCGAGGCCGCGGTGCGGACCACGAGTGAGCACAATGGCAGTGGTTGTCAACAACTCCAGATCTAACACAAAGATGGACAACAAGGGGGCAGTGCCCTGCCAAGGAATCCATTTTACTTCTTCTGGGACTGGTTTTTACACATGGTAAGGATTTGCTTCAGTACTTTCTGGACATCTTCATCCATCTGGCCCTAGGAAATGCAACCAAAAGACAATCATTAGAATCGAAGTTGAGTCCTGGCAGTCTCCCCTAGGGAATGAGATGGCTGGCTGAGATGAAGCCCTTGGCTTTCCCCCCAGATCATCCAAATCCAAAGGAATGTTAGTCCTATCAATTCGCACATTTCTGTGCGGGACTGAGAGAGAGAGGGCCCTGTGCTTTTCCCCTCTGGAGGCTGATGAGGCTGGGTCTACCAGACCCACCAGCAAAGGGTTTCTGGGTCTCAGCTGCAAATGTGAGCCCAGCTAGCCAAGCTGCCAAGAGTCATGGGGGTGAGACCGTGCTGACAGCTGTGAGAATACGGGCGTGCCTGAAAACGAAGCCTGGGCTGCTGCTGCTGGTGGGGGTAACAGCCCCTTCCTCCTCCATTTCTCAACAAATGCTGAGGCTACTTTCCAACAATGGCGTCAGGCTCCTGACAAAATCCAAAGCAAAGCAATGAGCTTTTTAAAGCTTCTCAATGTAAACGATTCCCCCCGAATTTTCATTTGTTCTACTAGTTGAATGACAGGAGTCTGGGTGACATCTGCTCTGGTATTTCTTTAGGATATTCAGCATACCTGCACGGCATACAGAAGATGCATTCTGTAAACAGATACGACCTCCTGGTGTTGTTTCTTGCATTCCTGGGAAGAGACATGTGACAGTGTTAAGAGCTTAGGAGACCGTTAAAGAACAAAACCAAAAACCTATGAGAAAGCTGTGGCCAAATGCTACCCAAAGTGATTTCCTTCAGCAAATGCTAGCATATGAGGCTTTTAAAACCATTGTGGGCTCACTGGGTTGTATATTTCTGAATACCTATCGCTATTCTCAGGGAAACATTTGCCGATATTCTTCAGAGGGGAAGAATCAACCTATTTCATATTTTGGCATGTCAACCTTAGAAGAAAATCCGTGAAAAAGTAGTTATTACGTAATCCCACCTTTGTTGCAAAAAATATATGTATACATACTTATGCAAATACACAGTCACATTCACACAAAGTAAATGGTGCAAAGAAACTATCAAATGCAAAAAGGGACCATCTCTGAGTGGCTGGATTATGGACCATTTTTATTTATAGAAACTTTTCCAGAGTCTTCTGTATTTTCCAACTTTTCCACAATAACCAAATATTTATTAATTTTAAAAATCTGTTCTTTTGAAAGGAGCTACTGTTCTGTCCCTATACAGCCAATCATATAGTCCCCCAGGGAGCTCAGTTACTCAGCTGTCAGTGTACAGGTGTACCCCGGAAACAAACAGGGTGGTGGCACCAATCTCAGCTGGTTCCTCAGTACAGCTGTTCATGCTTGTTTCTCCTTGTTGAGCTATTGTTCCAATTCCTCTCAGTAACTGTTTCAAGAATCTTCACTCGGCTCTGAACTTTTCCGAGGAGATGGTTTTCCACGACGAAAATTGAGACTATCATCTACAAATTACTTCCAAAGTCTACAAAAGCCCATCAGTACCCTTCTCACCTCCTTCCTATGAGTGTCGGAATATGAGGTGCCCTTCCTATTCAAGGAGAACCTTGGAAACCTCAGTCCTTTGATGGTCATGCCATTAGAAGGTGGGCTTAGGACCTCCCTGTCATTTCCTCTCAGCTTTTAGATACCTCCACTCAATCTTTTAAAACTTCGTCTTCTGATCACCATCCTCCTTTCCATCCTTGTTTCGGTCATCATTTGGGTGACTGTGATATCCACATGCCTGAGCCACAAACACCTCGGTCTCTCAGTTTCCCCAACGTCCACCTCAATGACTTACTCCTCCTCTTTGCAGCCATGCACTCTCAAAGTCACAGCCCTGTCTCTGTCATTGCATCTGAAATCTTTAAAGAGAGGACCTCACCCTCTGGTCACCAGCTCCTTTCTTTCCAGCAAATCTACTTTAGGCTTCCCCTGCCTCCTGCTATGGTTCTTCGGCCCCATCAGATACCTGGCTCCTTGGTCACTTCTCTAGGCAGCCCACTGAGGTTCAGATTCCATCCCATCACTCCACGGGGACTGTCCCTGCCGAGGCTGCCAAGGGCCATCTAAAAGCCACATCCCATTCCTTGCTGCCTCATACCTATCCCTTCAAGACTCAGCACAAGCATCACATCCTACAGGAAGCCTTTCAAGACATTTCCTCCATATGCCCGGCGCATGCTGGTGCATGCTGGTCTTCTCTCTACCAGTGGAGGCTGACTGAGAATATGGAAAGTCACTGAGTACAAACTCGGTGAAGACGGGAACTGTGTCATATTCACTTTTAGATCATTGGCGCCACATATAATATTCATTAAAGGTGTTGAAAATTGTAAAAATGATTGTATGAACCATCAGCATTTTGTCTACAAGTCTGTGAAAACCACTTCATCAGAAAAATGACCTGCAGAACACAACAGGGAGCCTCTTCCCCTCTCCTGATCACTCCTTCACTGCTAGAGCTGATAACACAAAAAAGCTGGTTTTGTACTCTGGTCAGCCAGTGTAAGGACTGCAGAAACCTGAATTCACCAGTATTAAGTCTGTACTGAAGAAATCCTACATCCCAGGTCCTGCTTGTCAACGAAACTAGTGATAGTCCATGACTTGGCTTCATGTGGAAAATGTAACATCCCATGTCAACTAAAACCTTAAATGCTATGGGAGGTGAAATGGTGGCCCTCCGAAGATGTCCACACTCCAATGGCCAGAACCTGTGGAATATTACTTCTGTGGTGACCAGAACCTTGCAGTTGTGATTAAGTTAAGGATCTCGAGATGGAGGAAAAGTTTATACTGACTATGCAGGTATCCCTTAAGTGTAATCACAAGAGTCCTTATGAGAGAGAAGCAAAAGTGGAGGAGATGGGAGGGCAGAGCCAGAGGTGGAGTGATATGCTTTGAAGCTGGAGGTAGGACCCATGAGCCAAGGAATTTGGGTAGCCTCTAAAAGCTAGCGAAGGCAAGGAAATGGATTCTCCCCTAGAGCTTCTAGAAGGAACCAGCCTTGCTGGTACCTTGCCTTTAGTGAAATAGATTTCACACTTATCTCCAGAATTTTTTTTTTAAGATTTTTATTCATTTGAGAGAGAGAGAGAAGGAGTGTGAGCAAGGGCGATGTGGGGGAGGGGAACGAGCAGAGGGGGAGGGGAGAAGGACAAGAGGACTCTGCTGAGCACAGAGCCCCATGCAGCTCCAGCCCAGGATCCTGTGATCACTACCTGAGCCGAAAACCGAAAGTGACACTTAACTGACTGAACCACCCAGGCACCCCGGGTCTCCAGAATCTTAAGAGCATAGATTCTTGTTTTAAACCAAGTCTGTGCTGGTCTGTTCCAATAGCCATGGGAAATAAATACAGATACGAGAGGACTTTCCCAGGTCAAACAAGGAGAGGGGCCAAGCAGCAGCTTCAGGTGCACAGAGACACACCCATCAGAGGTCCTGGCCCCTAGTAAGTTCTTGCCACTGCCGGACACTGTGGTAGAAAGCCGGAGTGGGGGGCACAATCAGTGGATGCGTAACCACGAGGCCTGCACCACGGTCCTGCCGATTCCTCTCTTCTCAGAGATCCAGGTGACTCACCTTGTTGCAGGCGATGCCTGGGACTCTTCTCCCCCCACCCAGGTGAGCAGGTAACATAATCTGCCTGGCCTGGCTGGCCACCCCCCACCCTCCCACCCCCACCGCAGGCATTGGAGAGAAGCCCACTCACAGCCAGCTGGTTCTGGAGCTGTTTGACCTGCTGCTGCAGCGCCTCGAGCTGCTGACTCTGCCTCTTGGACGAGCTCGCGGAGTAGGAGAGCTGCGAGAGGCTGTTCAGGGCCTCCTTCAACTTGGTGACTTCCTTCGACATCTCACTGATCTGGCGAGAAAGGAAAACTATCAATAGGCAAGAAAGGGCCTGCCGAAGCAAAATTCCAGAGAATTCTAAGCCTTCAACAATGGCCTCTTGTTGGCCTCTGGGACTCGAGACTTTGGAACAGTTTCTTTTTTATTTTTTAAGGAAAGTCCATAAAGTGAAATCGGTAACAAAATCAGCAACCCCACATGGCCCTCTAAGGCCATTATATTCAAATAAGGGCCCCAGATTAAATCTTGTGCTTTGAGGCATGAGGGTAACAAACGCTATGGCACTCATTTCCTTTTTTACACTGAAAGGGGGTATTGTTGAAAAAAGAAATCAGAACCAGGAATGTTGGGCATTCTTTATTTGGAGACAGCTATGTCTTGTTCAGTAGCACTGACACAGGCAGTCAGGAAGCAGTTCTGGGAGCCCTGATTTCTCTGGACATCTTGCTTCAAAGTAGTCACAACTTCTCCCTGCAACCCGGCCTCTGCCTTCCAACTCCCTGCCTCCTTGGCCTTGGAAGCTCTTTTTGAAATCTTCATTATATTAAAGGAATAAATGATCCCCAGTGCTCTGACCAGTGCCCCTCAGAACACCTGACCCAGGGGACCAGGGATGCAGAGGGCATTCAGGCTCCGCACTCTTTTCCGAGGCCCCCTTTGTTTTCCTCCTTCCTCCAAGCCACACCCAGCCGGTGTCTAATCACCTGCTCCCCACACACCCCCTCCTGTCCACCTTTGCCAGTGAGAGCCAAGGAGGGCAGTTCTTCCACTGACTCGGGAAAGCTCCCGGGACTTAGGGAAGCAGGATGAAGTCTGGGAGTATGTGGGTTTCTATATGATGGAAGAACCTGTCTGGGTTCCATGAGCCCTGCCACTAGGCAAAGTTTCTGTAAAATCATTTTAAAAGGGAAAATAGGTGCCACATAGGTGAAATGCTTTAATCTAAGGAGACTGACAGACGACTTGCTTTTTTAAATAGAAATGTCCAACCTACTACTCTTAATGTGGTCATGGGGACAGATGGAGTCACGTGTAGAGCTTTTGTGCCTTCGCAACAGGTCTGTGCTAACCAACACTAAAAACATTAACCAGGGTAAAGGCCTGCTAGCTAGAAACGCAACAGCAACGGAATCTCACCAACCTTCTTGTCTTTATCCTCCTCCAGTCTGGAAGAGCTCTCCGACTGTCTCTTCCTTTCTGCCAGCTCTTCCTGAGCGTCCTGGAGCTGTTGCCGGAGTTCGTCTGCTTCCTGCTCTTTGGCCTTTAAGAGAGCCTGAATATTCTCCTTTTCCCTTTTCGTTTGTGACACCTCGCTTCTCGTCTGGGTGAGCTCCAAATGGGCCTTCTCTTTCTCTTTTACCGAATCCTTCAATTTTGAGGCCAACACACTCACCTCACCTTCTAACGATGACTGGAGCTTTGCGTAGGCGGACCTGGGCACCATGGCGTCGGTCATGGCGGCCTTCTCTTCCAGGAGCTGCTTCTCCAGCCTTGCCACCTCTCCTTCCTTGCTGGCAAGGTGCTCTTTGAGACTGCTGATTTTTTCCTCCATCTCTTTGGTGGTCTCCCGCAGGGTGGTTATCACTTGCAAATGTTCCGTGATGGAGACAGAGTTCTCTTTCTGGGCGTCCACGAGCTGTTTGAGCTGGGTCAACTCATGTAACACCTTCGAGTACTGAGACTTCATTTCGGACAGCGCCTCTTCCGCCTTAGCTCTGGATACGTTCGTCACGTGCAGCAGTTTCTCATGCTCTGCTTTATGGATATAGTCGGCTGTCACGTCTTCTAGAGACTTCCTCTTCCTGTAATCCTCCAGCTCGGCCTGGGCTTCTTTGTACAGCTGGGACAGCTCGCTCACCTGTTTGTTGAGTTCATCTATCATCCTGTTCATGGCCTCTTTCATGTCCCCGGCTTCGTCGCCAGCGTCTTGGGTGACCTGACTCTTCAGGGTATCTTTTAATTTCATGATTTCTTCTTGGGCCTCTTGGTACTTCTCAAACAAAAATGCTTTCTCCTTATTCATGTTCTCAATAACAGAGCAGTATGAGCTTTTCATTTCCTCGTACTCTTCTATAGGAGGCTTAATGACCATATCTTTCTCCCTCTCTACAAGTTTTTCTTCTAACTCTCTCACCTTCTCCTTATTTCTTTCACTTTCTTCCACCGCGTTCTGGAGGTCCTGCTTCAGCACATCTATTTCCTCCTCAGTGATCCTCAGTTCCCGGAGATGCGAATAACTGTCCACACTTTCGGGCGAGACGAGGCCCAGTTTCATCTGCTTCTGCACATTGAGGACTTCTTTCATGGCCTCCTCGTATTTGCTCTGGGTTTCTTTCAGTTTCTGGCTGAGGTCAGAGCCGTTCTCGGAAATCTCCGCACTGTTGACGCACACCAATTCAGCCCTTCTGGACCGGAGCTCGGCCTGGAGCTGCTGCTTCTCTGCTTCGGAGCTCTCCAGCCTCTTCTGCAGGTCCTGCAGGATCTCTTGTAGTTGCTGAATTCGGCCATCGCCGTCGAGAGTGGATCTACTCGCAGACTGTGGTAAGGCAGGGGGAAATGATTTGGAGTCTGAGGGAGAGGTGTCTCTGGGTTTGCCTAGGGGTGGGGCCAAGTCTGTCTGAGTGGAATGGTAGGAGTCAAAGCTCACATCTGCTTCTGCCTCCTTGGGTGATTTGGCCTGGGAAAAAAGGCAAGAAGGACATGGCACCAAAGATGGAGTCAGATGAGCAAGCAACGGGAAGGAGAGAACAAATCCAGAGCTTCCATATGGGAGAATTGCAGGGTCCCTTTTATACTCGTGCCCCGTGACAAAATACGGTCCGGGACATGAGAGGCAGATTAATGACACGAAGCTTATTCTGTGCTCTATTAGGACTGCTGATGTGTGCCACTTTCAAAACACAAGATTTGTGTTGGCTCTAAAGCCTCTGACTCATAATTTTTCCTTTGCTTCTCATATTATTGCAGTTACCAAAAGGGGAAATGGGCACAAGTACAGCTCGTTCTTACTGAAGATCTTAAATCTGCTAAATGATCAGCTCTACTACATGAATGGGTAATTACACGCGCACAAGCACACATATACATGTATGTCATCTATAAAACAGACTAAGTATATAATCATATATAATTGGCCAATTTAGCAATTTACAGAAAGGGAGTTAATGAATACCTCCTCTTTCAACAAAGACATAATTTGAAACTATGAAATACTTGAGGCTAACTATATTTAAAAAAAAGAAGAAACTACTGGGGATGTTTAAAACAAAGTATCATCTGACTAACCTGAAAAAAACCCATAGTCTGACCCTACAAAGAGTCCGTGGTAGCAATCTCTGTACCCACCTGTAATTTATCCTGTAATTCCTTATTGTGCAAGGTAAGAGAAGCGACTTTTGCTTGCAACAGGGCAAGAAGATCTTGTTGGTCAGCTTCAGAACTTACATCCAATAAGCTATCAGCACCTTGGAAAAGTGAAAAGCAATTTACAATAATATTTTAAAAAATCAAACCAGTCTTTCTCTAACCTTTCTCTAACCAAGTGGTTTTCTACCTAATCCAGGGCTTCTTTCTGGTCCTGACGATGAATGAAAGCCCCTAGCTTCCAGGTAAATGAACAGCAACTCTCAGGTCCTGGGCTTTCATTCCTGTGGACTTCCCAGCACAGGACCAGATGCCTGGAGGCATCATAAGCTCATCTGAAAACTGATGGGATTTGCTCATACATTTTCCATTCACCTGATTAAGCGTCATATCTCGGTTGTTTTTTGTTCCTCCCATGCCTAGTAAGTCCCATTTCTGTGAATCCTTTCAGAAATATCCTGGTTCACTTTTTATCCCTACCACTGTTCCTCTAGTTCAAACTTTATCACCTGGCTCGAAAACCCTGCAAACAGCCCAGAAACAACAAAGCACGCGCACGCTCTCGCGTGTCCCCCCACCCAATAGTAAAAATAGAGCCTTGCCCAGGCTAATCTTCCTGAAACATGTTTTGATAGGGTCAGTCCTGTGGTTCAAGTGCTTTAATCACTCTCTCTCTCTAGAATTAATCTCCAGACTCCTTCCTCTGGGTTAATGTCTCCATCATCTGGTGCCAGCGTACTTTTTCAGGCATATGGCCCATGATCTCTATTAACACATCTTCCTCAGATTCTAACTTCCCATCATCCCCCTCTAGATTCTCAACACAAGGTTGCTGTTGTAATTCTTCCTGCAGATGACTGCCCCTGCAGCATCTCATTTGGCTAGGTCACTTGTCGGCAAGGTCACTTGTCGGCATCTTTCAGGACCCACGTCAAACTTTGCCTCTTCCTCACGGCATTGGATGACCTGATGACTGGGGGCCCCACCATGAAACGGTCTGCTCTGAATCCCACAATCCTACTCTTGGTAGGATTTTTTTTTTTTTTTTTTACATCCTCCTGATTATCATGCTGAAATGGCATCCAAAGCTATGCTACTCAACGTGCTCACTGAGACAAGAACCTTGTTCCAAAATGTCATTCAGCACACCTCCTCCTTCATGCAGTGTTCCTATGGGGAGAAGAAAAGACTACCGGACAAAACAGTGTGCTTAGCAGTATCGCTGGATGGCTTTCTGGTGCAAACTCCTTACTTCCTGTAGACTGGCAACAGCTTACAGACCACCGTCTGAACAGCGCTGACCTACATTCTTCACTGTTATTTTATTATTTTCTCACAGCCATTAAATCCAAAGATGAAAAATTTAATCTTAATTTGGAAGGACGCAAAAAGACATTTCTTCATAGAAATGCTTACTTCAATGTCTGGTGCCTAAACCACAGCTTTATTAAAGAGTCCCCTTGACATAATGTATGGTGAGTTTAGAATAAACCAGAGGACTGAGAGCATGACGATAATTCTAAGCTACAGAAAGTACTTCTCAAATACAATGGAGGAGCACGTGGGCGACTCATTGGTTGAGTGTCTAACTCTTGGTTTCAGCTCAGGTCGTGATCTCAGGGTCCTAAGATTGAGCCCTGCCATCGAGCTCCGGGCTCAACAGGAAGTCTCCTTGAGATTCTCTCTCCCCCTGCCCCTCCCCCTGCTTGCATACACATACTCTCTAAAATAATATTTTTAAGATTTTATTTATTTGAGAGAGAGAGAGAGAGGTGAGAGACAGCATGAGAGGGGAGAAGGTCAGATGGAGCAGACTCCCCATGGAGCTGGGAGCCTAATGCAGGACTCGATCCCAGGACTCTGGGACCACAACCTGAGCCAAAGGCAGTCGCCCAACCAACTGAGCCACCCAGGTGCCCTAAAATAAATTTAAAAAAATAAAATAAAATAAAATAAAATGGATGGTTTTTAAAGAATCCAATGTAACAAGTATTCAATTAACATGGATCAGTGCCAGGATGAGTATTTCTAAATTCTGTAAGCTAAAAGTGCCAAACACATGAAATGCATGATAGGGTTAAGAAAGTGAATGCTGCAGCCAAAGGAGCTTTTGAAATCATTTACGTGACATTTTAAATGGTCTCTGGGGATACTGCACCACATTCTTGGAGAGTAAACCCCTGGGATGGACTCTTAAGGCAATGAATTAAACCCTGTCTTGGTGAAGAGAGTATGATTGTGTGTGAATTCATTAACACTGTGTCTTTGTGTATATCTATTTAAAAACTAAAGTAGGAAAGTTAGACCGTGCAGCCATGGAGGGGCTCAGCTAGCTCTCCCTTCAGTAGATAACCTGCTGCCCACTGGCAAGGAGTGCTGCAAAACAGTGTTTTATTTAAAATGCATAAAAGCGGGGGGGGGGGGGCCTGGGTGACTCAGTCTGATAAGCGAGGGACTCCTGGTTTGCACATAGGTCATGTTCTCAGGATCGTGGGACTGAGCCCCAGGTTGGGTTCTGCACTCAGGGGGAAGTCTGCTTGAATATTCTCTCCCTCTGCACCCCCACTTGCGTATGCACACACACTCTCTCTAAAATAAATACACAAATCTTTAAAATAAAATAAAATGCATAAAAGAGAATACCCAGGGTATTGTAATTTCAGAGCTGATTTTGTAATACACAAATAACCACATGTGGCAGCAGGTCTAATAACTGCCATAGTTCTAGTAAAGAGACAGTAAATGATATTTCCAGATACCCGCAGTAACTGTAAGGTGACATGACATTATCTGTGAATTCTCTCGTTGGAAAGATGGACAAATGAAAACGGATATATATTTTTTCACATCCACGCTTAAGAGACTCCTTAAATTCCAGGTGAAAGCCTCCAGAAGTAGAAGAAGTGTCAGTCTGTGTAGTATTGGCAGCTGTGGGCTGGGAGGGACCCCAGGGTTCTCCGAGCTCCCTGCACTCCCTCCCGGCTTGGCCTTTGCTCTCTTTAAACAGCCATGGACTACGGACCCGTCAAAGGAACAGAAACAGCTGCCCCTTCATCTTACCTGTAGTGCTGTCACTTAGTCTGTCTTTGTTCCCCCGTATAGAACTGATCTCAGCCTGCTGGAACGAAAAATGACTTAAAAGAATATTCCTGACTGCAGTACTCCACAAGAGAAGCAAGCAAATATTCCTCCCTGAACTGACACAGAACAGTTACCCTTCTAGAAAAAGTGAGAACATCCCCAGGAAAGAAAATATTTTAAAATATAAGTGAATAAAAGTGACAATTATCTACTGAGATATGATCTCTAAAATGTTAGGTTCCAGAGCATATAATCTCAAAATATTTTTCGGAAATTTCACTTAATAAGTATAGTACAAATATCTTTTAATAATATTATAATAACTTTATATCTGTGTCTTAAACCTTGAGATGGCAAATAATTACTTTCATAATGAAGTCAAATACAAGTTTCACCTGTCTGGGTAATACATTGATTAAAATACATTAGAAGTACTTTTTTAGCTTTACTTTTTTAATAAATTAACTGCTATTAATGTATGATTATTAATATTTCTAAGAGAAATTGGAGTAAGTAAGACCCCCCGGGGAAGATAAACATAATTTTATAAGGGAATAAAAAGTTTTACAGTCATGGATTGACAATCCCCTGAAGATTTCCTCTAAACCTTTATCCCTGAATATCTGTCTGGTAAATACATTGCAAAAATTCTTGCAACTTCAAAGCCAGGCTTTCATTTCAAAACAAAACACAAGGAGTTGCCAGAAATTACTATGTTTCATTCCGATGAGCCATAGACCTGATAAGAGAGATAAGTTTTCAGCAAAGGAACTTCTGTGAAAGCCCAAATGCTAAAAATAAAGTGGCTCATTTTTGGCAAGCGCTTATCTCTGTAAAAAGCTGTCTTTTCACTTTATAAAAATAGATGTTTAATTTTTAACCACCTTAAGGTACAATAAACGGCATCCACTTAAAGTTTACGGTGTGAGGAGTTCTGGTAGATACACACCCATGGGACCAGCACCGTAATCGAGACACAGAATGTTTCCATCAACTCTACAAGTTTTCTCCTGCTCCAACACAGCCAGTCCCTGCCCACCTATCCCCAGGCAACTGCCGCTCGCCTTTTAGCATGATCGAGAATTCCTGTAAATGGAATGTCATGGGTATGAATTTGTGTCAGGCTTCTTTCAATCAGCACGATGACTTTCAGATTCACCTACATTGCTGCGGGGACAGCTCTGCATTTTTTTATGGCTAGGGAATAATTAATCGTATGGACATATCTCATTATCCTCATCTACTCACTTGCTGACAAACATCTGGATTGTTTCTAGTTTTGGGATATGCGAATAAAGCTAATACAAACATTTGTGTATATAATTTTTTGAGACACACATTTTAATTTCTCTTGGCTAAACATCGATGAGTGGACGGTTAGATCATATGCTGGTGCGTGATCAACTTTTAAACTGTCAGTTTCCCGATTTTGCCACTTTACATTCCTACCAACAGAGTAGGACAATTCTAGTTCTTCCACATCATCACCAACATCTGGTATTTTTAAACTTTAGCCATTCTAAATGGTGTCGCTTTTTATCTTTTGTGTGTGTGCAGGGGGCGGGGAGGCGGCAGCTAAAGAAATGAGTCTTTTTACACTCTACTTCTGAAAATTGTAATTTGTGATACTGTTCTTTGGAATGCGTTGCATCCTTTGAGCCATAATTATATTAGAAGATAGCAAGGTACTAATTGTAAGAACATAACTTTCTTTCCTTTCCTTGTATAGATATTTATCTTAAGAATTTATTAATAAACTTTAAAGTGGGGGAAATGTCATGTTGACAGAATCTTTTTCAAATTGTTGTGCATCCAAGTTCAAAGAAAATTTATCTTTAGTGATTCTTAGATGGGGGAAAGCAATATACAATGATACCACTGCAATTTCATTTTAACAATTACAAATTTTATTTTCTTTCCAAGCCTAATTTCCTAGTGATGGTTAGGTAAACAGATAGTAAATTGAAATATCCTCCCACTTCTACAAATACTTTCCAACAGCAAATATAGAGAATCAGGTAGAATGGATTTTCTAAAATTAATGCACATTAGTTTAAAAAAAACAATTAAAAATATACGATTACTTGTCAATAAGACATCAGAGAATAATCAACATTTCTTTCTTTTTTGATTGGCATTATATCAACTAGATTTAGTAAGAAGACGGGCTATCAGTTTTTATCTTTGTCCCTTTTTTTAAAAGGAAGAAAATTAATTATTACTTAATTAATGTAATTTACTCATTCTACTCTTTCTGTGTGGAGCCCAGGCCAGGAGAAATAACTGAGTGGTGCTTTATGATGAAAAGGTGGTGAACCAATCATTGGGAAGTCTATTCTGTTTTGCCCAATGTTGTCCCACTTAAATCACATCTATTATGTATCTTAAGATTCAAAATTAATTGGACACAGAAGGGAATTACCTTGAATGGTGGTTCAGCAAAAAACACAGATTCCTTTCCCGAAAGTGGTGTTGAAGTTATTGATCTTGGGGAAGACACATCACTCAACTTAAAAAACAAAATGAAAATCACAGATAAAGAATGCTTCTTCAAGGTCTTTTCTTCTCCAGTGCCACAGAATTCACCTACTTAACCAATGCAAATAAATCTAACAGTAACCGTCCTTAGTCTTAATGAATTCAAGGGTATTTTCAACTTAATGCAGCCCCTCAAAGACTTTCTGAAAGTTTGCAGAGTATAACTAAGTAACTCTGCTCCTATAGTCACAAGAAGCAATTTTCAAAACCTATCAAACCTCTGTGGCATGTTGAAAATATTATCAGAGACTATGCTCACATAATTACTATAACTTATCAGAGGAGATATTCCTCTCAACTACTTGAGAGATTTCACAGACATTTGAGCTTCCTCCTCTAGGCAACAGTCACTAAAAGCTCAGAAATGAAAGCCCCTTTTAATATTAGCCAACTTTGCATGTAATTAGAAAGGCAAATATATTTTAGCAGTGTTTTAAGAAAACAACTAAAATTCATCTTCAGTTAACTGCCTCACCAGCTACCCACTCTCCCTGCCATTATTTAAGCTATTAATGTGAGGTCCTAAAAGTAGACTGCGCTTCACTTAAGGAAGCGGTTTCTGTCATAAGATTTTGAGAAACTTCCCTAAAGTTTTTATTGATTTTTATTTTTTTTTTCCTTAAGGCTTTTTAAAAAAGACACTGTTCAATTCCTCAGCCTTGCAATAAATAAGAATCAACATTATTTCCCTACTAATAATAAAAATCCTTCATACCGCTATCTGTGATTTAAAACCAGTATGGAAAACTTCAAATGTGCATTTAAGAGTCAATTCTAAAACATTTCTTTTGGGCCTAAACACAAAATGACAAAATCACAGCTTTCGGTTGTTGTTGGCTTAAGGTTTGTTCACTGTTGGTTTGCTTTTGTCTTTACCTGGGTAGGACTGATAGGAGGTGGTGGAGCTTTGCGTTTTTTTGGAGTTCCACTTCTTTCTGAGCTTATTTTAGAGACTTGATCATGCTGGAAGTTATCACAGTCCAAAGAACGGAGGTGGGTTAGTTCGGTTAGTAAAGTCTGAACAAACAGCTTCATCAAACAAATGAGAAAAACCTCAACAGTTCATGCATTTCTTACTTTATCAAGATCTGACATCTGCTACCAACATAAAAATAAGTAATATGCATGCTCCAAGTGTTCTTCCAGCAGCCCATGCTTTAATAGCGAGAAAATATAAAACACAAGACAAAACCAGATTAAGTTGGTGTAGAGAACTGGGAAAGTGGAAGATGGGGAGCTGTCTGCCCTAGTTTAGAACCCAGAATACATTCCTCGTCTAGCTTCCATCTTGATGCAAAGTGGTGGTATTTCCACCACTTTGCATTATTTCCACTCCTTTTCTTAAAGACTGTTGATATGGGAGCAAGGGGAAATGTCATCTCTGAAGGTTATAAATAAGTAACCCAGTTAGTACCTAATAAATTCAGTATCGACTATTTCCTGTTGATGATAATTTCTCAAGAATTTTGATGTGTAAGTAAATAAATATAATAGCCAACTATACAATTCATCAAAAAAAGGAAACAACATTAATGATGTTTTTAGGAGAAAACTCCAAAATCACAGGGCAATCTTCTCAATTTCTGTCTGTAACTCTAATGGCATTTTAGAAAAGTTCCAATTAAAATGAAAGGACAAGCTAAACCTCTTATGTTCATTAAATATCTAACACTGCCATGGACAGAGGTCTAAAATCCATGGGCTACACAAATATCGTTGTTTGTTCACAGAGTTAACCAAACATTTTACACTGACAGAAAATATTAGTACATTTCAGAAAAAGATGAATATATAAGTAGGAAGTTTTAAAGTCACATGCTTTGGCAACAGGGTAAACCATTAAGGAAACCTTTACCATCTTCTAATGATGAATCATTTATTCTGAAGATTTTTTTTTTTACTCCTTAAGTATTTTCAACATAGTTTTTGTCACTTTTCTAGTAGACTACAGAGTGGTTTAATCAGGACATTTTCAAAGTCCCACAAGCTATGATGACCAAAAAAATACTCTCCCCCAAAGATAGATACCTGCTTTGGTTTTGTTGGTGTCTTTGAATCTGTAGAGGAAAAAGTGAGAAAAAAAAAAAAAAAAAAACTGTAAGAACCATGACTCACTTCCACTTTCAGTGGGCGATACTCACATACACACACTCACACCCATAACACAACAAACACAATATTTAACACTTCATTTTTCTTCAAGAATATGTTTAAAAGAATAATAGAATAGATCATATTGCACACATTCCTTTACCCTTTGGGGAAAATGGAGTGGATAAATTTAAAACAACACTGGCTATTTTCTTTCACATACCAGAATCCTGAGAGATTTTTGATAAGAGAAGGCTTTGAATTCCTGCATTTTCTGAGAGTTTGGAATAATGTAAGGCATTGTGTCCAAGAGAATCTACAAGGTTTAGGTCTGCACCCTTTTTAATTAAGGCTTCCACGATATTAGAGCTGCTGATCTCACAGGCCAGCATGAGAGCAGTTCTAAAGAGAAAAGGAGACACCAAATTAGTACTAACACAATGGGAAAAACTTTCTTGGGAAGTCATCTTATCTTAAAAACAAGGGAAAGAGATTAAGTGCAGTTAAACACATATACACTTAATCTTCTAGGGAATCTGAAATTTAGTGCTAGCAAGATGAAATCAGGTTTTTTTTTTTTAAACTTCAGATTAAATCAAAACATTAAACCATATTAGGTCAAATAACATAGACATTATCTTCTAAACATAATCTTCTAAATATGATGGAATTTAATATGACTGGCACAAATCATGTCCTCCTCTCACCTCAGGCATTTTAAAGTACCTATAAGTCATTATGACTATTTTTAAAAGCAGCCGATATGTTTACTCTTATTTAATTTTGCACGAAAAGCCATTGGAAATGGCCTAGTCACTTTAGTATTCAATAATTTCATCATAGACTCAATGATGTTCCCAGTGGTCTGAGGGAAAATATTTTTTAAGTCAAAACAGATTCCGGATAATCAGAAGAGGCAGGAGGGGCGCCTGGCTGGATCAGTCAGTAGGACACGTGGCTTTCGATCTCAGGGTCGTGAGTTTAAGCCCCACACTGGGTACAGAGTTTACTTAAAAAAAAAAAAAGAGGCAAAAAATGAAAAAATTAAAACCACTTTCTAACAAATGATCCAAAAGAAAGCTATGTTATTTTGAGACTCCCAGAATGTGGATATCGCCGAAATCCCATGATTTCTATTTCTGTGGTACCTTCCGTTTTTGTCCCTGGAATTTATATCTGCTCCGTGGTCCAGGAGAAAGCGACAGACCTCACTGTGGCCATTTTGTACTGCAAGCAGCAGTGGTATATTCCCGTCCTAGGAGACAAATGGAGACGTTTTGTAACTCAGACACCAAATGCCAAAAGGCAAAGGCCCTTGTTCTTTGTACATTTATTGCTGAGCCGTCCTGCCACTGTGACAGTTTGTGTCCCCACTGCGTGCCATTACATCTCTGCACAGCTCTTCTTAGGGAGCGGCACCAACTGTCAGCTTTTCCTCAGAACCTCAGCCTCTTGGGTGGCTTGTTGCCTCGGTGACCACCACTCAGTCTGGCGATGATGTGAGAGAGAGGGAACACCAAGTATGTAAAGGCTCAAGGCAAGTATATCGTGTTTACTGAGGGATGACTCTGTTTCCACAGGGCGGTGGCAGCTCCTTCCAAGCCAACTACATGCTTCCTACCATTCCTCCCACTACTTGCTTCTCAGAGGGTACATGCTTTCATGACCTTACAGGTACCAAACAGAACATAAATTAAGAGTCTGTCTATTCCTGACACCTGACTAGATAAAAGATCAATGGAAAGAGTGATTAAAGATGACAACTGGCATTCCTTTAAAACAAGAAAATGATGTTGAATCACTATATTATACACTTGGAACTAACGTAACACTATGTTACCTACACTGGAATTAAAATTTTAAAAAAATTAAAAAATAAAAAAGGCAAAAATAAAAAAGGCAAAAATAAAATATAGCCAGTGGTTTTAACATGAGGATTTTAAAAAATATAATTGCTGCTTAAAGATTGAGTCTCTATTTAAAATTGAATTTCAGATACATTTCTAAAAAGCTAGCTCTGTGAAATTAAAATACTTTCTGGTTATGAAGTACCGAGATTCAGGGAGTGGGAATTTATCTACAGATTCTATATACTCCCCTAGCAATATCCCTACTAGGTATAATGATGTCAATTCCCATTCTATGGCAGGAAATTTAACTTTCTAACCAGGAGTGACTGGCATGTAAACTTACTCTCAAAATAGCCCAACAGGGTTAAAATAGGCTAGAAGCAATCTTTGAAATTGGGAAACCCTAACCAAGAGAGTACCCAAGATGATCCATGGGAAAGAACACAACTAACAGAACTTCTGTTTAGACTTCTTATTTCTACAAACCAAGAAAGTAAGCCTTATTAATATTTAGGCTGATGGCAGACAAGCTCAGAAATAAATATATACATCTGGAAATGCACGTTTCAAAATGTCTTATTAATGATTTAGGGACTGATGGGGAAAATAATCGAATCCATTTGGCAGAAGAGGACCCAGGTTGGAAAGTACTAGCCTTGCCAAACAATTAGGTCTCTAAACGTTTTCGTGACTTTCAGGAGTAGCCCAGAGCACTCTAGAAACCCGTGTCCATCTCCACCTCCAGGAGCTGCCCAATACTCACCAAATCCTTGAGGTTTATGGGGCTTTTGTGTTCGCAAAGAGCCTGCACGGCTTGAAGGCAGCCTTGTGCCGCTGGGGAAAGGAAGCAAACAACCATAGCCCATCACAACGCTGCTGGCACAAGGAAGGGCATCAAACACTTTCAGGACGGAACGTTCGTGTCCCACCCAGTTTGCCTATGTTACTCTAGTTGCGCTGAAGAGAAATGGTATCAGGAAGGTTAAGTAAGGTGTTCTCAGTTATTGTTAAATTTCCATATTTCCAGACCAGTTGCCCTCACGCAAATATTCGGTTTAGCGTTTTGTAGGACTCGGCTTGTCCATGACTAGCACTGATGGAAATTTATAAATGTCAGCATTCCTGAGCTCGGTGTCAGCGTTTTAGTACTCGGAGCTGTGCTGACAGATAATAACAGACAGTAAGACAGAACACTGATAAATAAAAGTGGGGTTTCTTTTGCGCCCCAAATCAAAAAAATCTGTGTCACACATTACATGAAATCTGCAAATGCTTAAGAGTACCTCTCAGTTTAAATAAGAAGCTTGCGTTAATTAAAATGTAATAACCGTGACAATTCTTACTGACAGTTTGGCAGGCAACTGGTGAATTCTAGATGAGTTCCTTGATAAAACTCTACACGTCACAAATTGAGGGAAATGGAAATTCTAGGAATGCGGACAGACAACAGCGTCAGAAATAAAATGGTAAAAGACCACGGGTTGACTGAGGAAAAGGAAAATTTAGTATATTTTTTTGTGTGGCAGAAGATAAATAAGAGACTGAAAGTCACCTGCATAATGTAAAGCTGTTTTCCCAGAACTGTCAACGCTCTCGGCTGGGCATTTAGACTAGAAGACAAAAATAAATAAATACATATAATAAAATTCAGTTCTGTTTAGTTCATCCTTTTCTGGCAAGGTTATGATATGTCTTATTAGGAAAAGTATAAATACGAGTAAGCCCCAATTGCTGCGCTCTGGCCTACAGTCTCCTACTGGGGCAGGGGGGACGGGACTCATTTCCACGTAATGGTGACCCAGGCAAAAGGTCACCTCTTTGTTGCTTTGGCCGGCCTGTCCTCTCTCTCTCACACTGGCACCCCATCACCAGCAGACCATCCCCACCAGCTAACACATATGCTCTAGGAGTTCTCATCTTGATCCCATCTTTCCCCCCATTTCCTGCCCTAATTCTCTATCCCCCTTCACAAAACCAACTTTCTGTCAAGAGCGGCCCATGTGCAACCCATGCTCCCTCACTTCCCATTCACCTCCAAACCCGGCGCAGCTGCGTGCTCTTCTCCAGACTCCACAGAGATGGCCCTAGTTGGTCACCACTGACCTTCATGTTTCCCATGACAACAAACATCTGTGTCCTCCTCTTACTGCGATCCACGCCCTTCTCCAAGGATTCCTTCCTCTCAGCTCCTAGAGCCCACACTAGCTTGCCCCCCCAACCCTCAGCCCCCCGCTCTGGCTACTCCCCCCTCTGTTAGCCAAACAGAACCTTAGGGTTCCTCACTGCTCTCCTCCTTCGTGATCTCCTCCACACCCATCTAGAGGCTGATGACTCTCAAATGGAAATTGTAACAATAACCACCACAATAGCGTGTATTAGCTATGGCAGGCTGGGCACTCTTCAAAGAACCGTCTCTGGGCTCCTCACCACCCTAGGTAGATACTATTAATGCTCGCATCTTCATCTGAGGAAACTGAGATACAAAGTAGTTAATAATTTGCTCAAGTCACAGGAAGTGGCAGAGCCAGGATTCAAACCCCTTTCCCAAATGGCGCTGGGCTAGAGCCTGTGATCTTATCTGCACACAACAGACATCAGCTCCCAGCACCCGGCTGGACGTCCCACTGGCTACTTCACATTCCTGCTCGTGTAGACACCTCAAACTAAACTTCCTAAGCCCAGCCTAAACTTCAGTTTCCTCTCCCTGACACTTCCCTATCTTTGTCAACAACACCATCACGGAACTAGTCAACGGGCCAGAGACCACGGGATCATCTCCCTCCCTCCACCGCCGTGTCTTGTCAATGCTGTGCTCTCAGTACACCCTCTCCACTCTCTTTCCCACCCCCCCCCACCACCACAGCCAAGCCAGCACCCTCTCACCCAGACAAGCGGTGGCGGCCTCCCAGTGCTCTCCGCAGCTCTGCCTTTGGCCCTATTCTCTGTAGGACTAGAGTGATCCTTTAAAATTGTGAATATCATCAGGCCTTCCTTAAAAGCCACAGTTCCACACTGTGCTCAGATGACTTACAGTCGTCTATCAAGCCACACAGGCCGGCTCCCTGTGTCCTCCTTTCTCCTCATGTGTTTTGCCCCAGGCTTTCTTTGCTCCCTGACTAGAGCCCCTCCTACCAGAGGGCCTCTGTACTTGTTCTTCTGTCTGCCTGAGATGCTTTTCCCTTGACTCTTTCCATCATTTTCAGCTTAAATATCACCTCCTCCAGGAGGCCTTCCCTGAATATCCACCCAACATTCCCCTCCCTCAGTTCTCTGTTAGTTTTCTTCATGATGTGCAATTTGTGGGATGTGCCCTGGGGATTTGTTTACAAAATGGCCAGTTCCACCGGGAGAGGGGTTGCACTGTTCTCTGTTCATGAGCATATACTCGATACTAGACACAGTGCATCGTGCCTGTGGGGGCACTTGTAAAGGGGGGGGGAGACTAGGGGGCTCTTGGGGGAGGGAGAGAGTTCATTTGAATTTGAAGAATCTCACAAGACTCTCTGTGCTCAGAACTTTAAAATGGCAGCCACTGGAGAAGAGACGCCTAGAGAGCCTAGAGGGGATTAAGTGCAGAGGGTAAGGCAGGGCAGGAGGTAACAAGAGTCCCCTCACAGAGGGCAGGGGATGCCAGGGCACATGTGAAGAACTGGCCAGAGAGGTCCAGGACGCAAGGAAAGCAGCCCATTAGTAGGACATCAAAGCCTCAGGTTTTAGCAACTATTCAGAAAGAAGACCAATAAGTCTGCAAGTTAGGGGCAAGAACAGGCAATGTCAGAGTGAAATGTCTGTCTGCCCTTCAGTGGTAAGAAGAATGGAGATCAAGTTACGACTTACCATGCTTTGGCCTAATTTTAGACTAGCACAAGGAAGTGTTTAAAGGCTTCAAAGATTCCAGAGAAAAACCAATCCATTTGCATAACCAGATATAAAATTACATTAGAGGCTAGAATATCTGTTCCCTGCCAATGAGGACTTCCAGCTTGTCAAGTTCATTCTTCCTGAAAATCAGAGCCAGATGCAAAGTCTGGATAGCCAAGCCAGACTGGGAATGCAGATTTAAAAGACAAATAAGTTAAAGAAGAAATTAAGGGAAGGCCAAGGGTATGGAGGCAGGATGCTGGGACAAGTTAGTGATCTGTCATTTATCCGGAGTGCCGGGTCTCAGAGAAGTCCTATGTTAACCGTTTCCAGAGAGATGCCTCATAATAAAAACAAAAATAATAATCACAATCCCAGATGTTGATCTATTTTTTGAATTTCACTTCAAAGACCTGTTAAGGTGATGCATTTCCTGCATTGGTGGTAGCTTGCATCATGATTAATGCAAGACAAGAGGCTGTGTGATCAACAGAGTGCGACAAGTTGAATGTGACCACATTTAGGCATTAGAATTGCAAAGCAAATTAAAGCACGATGCCAGGTCCCACACAGCGCCCACGAAGGCTGAGACTACAGTGCAGCAGAACAGTCCTCCAAGCGCAGATTTTATTGCTCTGTGCCCTTCCTGAAAACCACCAGCTTGCATTCTGACGGGCAACCACTGGATGGTACGGTATGGACTGCGATAGGGAGTTCATTAAATATTCATCTTTAAAGATTTACAGACGTCGTCCCCCTCCACGATCATCATAAACGGGCAAGCTTGGCAAACCAGGGAGTTGGCTTCAAATCATAATGAAGAGTAAAACCAAGAACTTAAACAAAAACTAAGAGCCGAGAGCTCATTAAGAGATACACAGAAGGAAATAATAGTTGGTTCTGTTTCTCAAGGAGAGTTGCGTTCTACCAAGGATGGAAGGAGAGGCTACCAGGAGACTGGAAATCCCGTACTGCAAGAATCTCCAAAAGCAAGGAAGAAGTTTTAAAAATGGACTGTGTGAAGGATACAAGGCTTTCAGAAAAGAAAATGGGGAGCTGAATAAAGGAGAGAAAAAGGCTGGATCCCCGGAAGACACTCCAACTTCTTCCCAGTGCAAGTGCTATGGGAATAACGCATTCCTTGGTTAGCATTTCAAGAATGATGCCTAATACACACGCAGATTCTGGGATGGTATTTAAAGGAGCGTGCATGCATTTGTTCTTTCACAGATGAGGGTACTCTTAAATTTAAAAACTGGCATCATTTTAAACATTTATCCTTTGAGGGTGTTCCCTGTTACCTGAAGGAGCTTCCGGATGCATTCATGGTGGCTGTTCTTGGCTGCGAGGTGCAAAGCACTATGTCCTAAATGGAGGATAAAAAGAAATTTTTTTTGGAAAAAAAGGTCACACATTTTAAATCCCTTTCTAATCCCTGTAAGGAAGACAACTATGAGGAAATAAACTGGTCTCCAACAAAGACGGGATTGTTACTCTCGAGGGGAAGGCCTCAGCTTCTTATCTGCAAATTTCAGTGACAAAAGAGTGGAGAACACAGAGCATCCCGCCCACTGGCTAATGTTCAGGGTCTACTCCAAAGCTGTTCTCTCGGGGTGCCATTAAATCTGGGCTAAAAGCTTGCAGGCGACTCATGATACGCAGCTCAGCTCTGTTTCCGGCTGTCAGTATGGACGCCAAATGTCCTGCGTCCACACTGGGCTAGGACCAACACAGGCCCAGAAGCCCAAGCGAAGCCGCCCATACCTCAGCTGAGGACATTCGAAACGCCCACACACTTAAATCCCGATTTTGGACCTTTCATATTTCCCTCTCCTCCAAATGTGCTCCAGCCCCTGCATGGAAATTACCTGGAATTTTCAGACACTCAAAATCCTTCTGTGGAAGAAGGGAGAGAGTTGTAAAAGCAGTAATACACTATGAAAGTGGTATTTCTTTACATTCCCTTCAAAGAACGAGAGTCTGACATGAGGCACTCTGATGCCTCGGCGGTCAGCTTCGGGAAATCCTCATGCTGGACCCAACTCTCGCCACTGTCTGATGGGCCACAGAATTTCTGTGGAAGAGGGCTGAGGGGCGGCCTCCGGGCAGAAGGTATGGCTCCCAGCCCAGCAGGCTCCCACCCGAGACCCTGCCCCGCTGCTCTGTGCTGAGCCGGGAATGGCTTCCTGCAGATCACCACACGGCTTACTCTCTCACCTCAGATGCCCCCGAAAGGGTGCTTTTGAATGAGGTCTTCCCTGGCCTCCGCTTTCAAAATTCCCATTTCCTCCGCCCTTTTAATCCTTACTCCCTGCTTCATTTCTGTTCCTCAGAGCATTGAGCACCGGCCCACACTCCCTTGCCACCCGCCCCCACACACACATACCACACAACACACACCTCACACAACACATACATACCACACACACACACACACACACACACACACACACACTCATATGGAGATCCCTGTGTTTCCTTCCCCACTAGAATATGAACTCATTGAGGACAGGAAGTTCTATCTCATTCCCGGTGTTGTCTCTAGTCCAGCACCGACGGTGCTTAGCAGGTTCTTAATACACACTTGTTAATTTGAATTAGAGGGTATACTCCTTCCAAATGTCTGGGGAGGTGATTTGGGGGGAGGGAACCAAAATTATCACTGCTAGCCAACCCAGCACACATAGTTAACCCTTTTTTTTTTTTAATTTTTATTTATTTATTTGACAGAGATCACAAGTAGGCAGAGAGACAGGCAGAGAGAGAGGCAGAGAGAGAGGAAGGGAAGCAGGCTCCCGGCCAAGCAGAGAGCCCGATGCGGGGCTCGATCCCAGGACTCTGGGATCATGACCTGAGCCAAAGGCAGAGGCTTTAACCCACTGAGCCACCCAGGCGCCCCACATAGTTAACTCTTAAATCCTCCATTTCCCAAACTTTTTGGCCAAGATATGCCCAATGTAACACCTGTAGACAACACATACTTTGGGACGTGCTTCCAACATGGTTCCTTAGCCTCGGCGCTATTGATATTTCAAGCTGTGTGTGTTGAGGGGAGGGAGGCTGTCCTATACATTGTAGGGTAATAAGCAGTACCTCTGGTCTCTACCCATTATATGTCCATTTCTGATGATCAGAAATGTCTCCAGACATTGCCAGATACCCCTTGGGGACAAAAATCACCCTAGGTAAAAACCACTGGCTTAGAGAAAACAATTTCTTTTACAAGGTGGTCCAGGCTCCAAATATCGTTTCTGCTTTTTAAAACAGTCTTAACTCTGTAACTCTAACTAAAAATCTTTTTTTTTTTTTTTAAGATTCTATTTATTTCAGGGGCACCTGGGTGGCTCAGTGGGTTAAAGCCTCTGCCTTCGGCTCAGGTCATGATCCCAGGGTCCTGGGATAGAGCCCTGCATCGGGCTCTCAGCTCAGCAGGCAGCCTGCTTCCTCCTCTCTCTCTGCCTGCCTCTCTGCCTACTTGTGATCTCTGTCAAATAAACAAATGAAATCTTAAAAAAAAAAATTCTATTTATTTCAGAGAGAAGGAGAACGCACACGTGTGTGCACACAAGTGGGAAGGGAGGGGAAGAGGGAGAAGGAGAAGCAGGCTCCATGCTAAGCAGGGAGCCCGATGTGGGGTTCGATCCCAGCATGTGGAGATCATGACCTGAGCTGAAGGCAGACTCTTAACTGACTGAGCCACCCAGGGTCCCCTTGACTGTAAATCTTTAATTATTAAAGAATCAAACTGCAAGGAAATACATACTTAAAAATTAAAGGGTTTTAGGACACCAGTGAGCTGTACAAAAGCACATGTAAGGTCAGAAGATCAGATTCCTTCTTCTCTGAGACCAGCTGAACTAAAGGATTCTAAGGGTATCTTGAGGGGGAGCTGTTTAGATGGTACAGAACACAGAGAGACAGGAATCCCTCTAACCCCACCCAAACAGGTGAGGATGAGGAAGGTCGGGAATGGAGACCTTGGAAGTAGGAAGACAAACCTCTTCTCTTCCTCTTCCTCCTTTCACTGCATGAGACCCCCCTCCTTCCAGGATATATACTGCATCATAGAGTTCGGTAACAATATGCATTAAATAGGCTTTGGTAGGCTAGCCAACTGTCATCTGTAGTGTTTCTAAGGACAACCAGATCCTGAGTTTTAAACACATGCCTTGCAGATGAATTTCTGGAAGCCCTCCTGACCGTAAGTAGAAGGTTTATTATGTCACGTGTAAAGTGCGTGAGCTTTCGTCTGTGCGGTGGACAGAAGCTATTCTACATAAGGAGCACCCACTGGAAAAAGACACAATTCTCCAGAGACAAGAGGGTAGGGAGATTTAAGCAACTCAGCAATAAAATACACCACAGGGCTTCACTGCACTCCAAGTGTTCTAGTCATACCTGGAAGTAAGTGCTGAGTTTCTAAAGAAACACAATTCTTTTATTCCCTGGCCCTGTGTGATGTTTTCCTAAACCAGGAGCACAGCAGTCTTTTCAATTCAAATAGTCTCAAAATCCAAATAATACATCATTCTCTGGACGTTACACTGAAGTGAGAGGTCCCTCACTGCTATGGTTAAAACAAAATCCTCTTTCCAAATGCAAAATTTTCTGGAGAGAATACATTGTGTTAGCGACAGAATCTCAGTGCAATGAGACAGTGTCTAAGTCTGACCCCCATTCAGCTGTGGATCTGTCTGGAATACCAGGAAACAAATTCCCAAAAATAAATAACATGGCAACCCTAATCCAGGACATTCTGGCAGAACTCTGCCTGTAAGTAGAAAGACCAGTGTTATTTGTAAGTCAAGAGTTGCAGGCTATTACAGGTAGTATAAAAATCCTATTAATGAAAGGAAATCTAAAAACGATGGCCCAGGAGCCTCTGGCTGGTTCCATCAGTAGAACGCGAGACTCTTGAACTTGGGGTCATGAGTGTTAAGTCCCACATTGGGTGGAGAGATGACTTTAAAAAATAAAAATAAAAGTAAAATGGATGGCATAGCCATTTTCTCCATGGAACGCCTTCCCCCCCCAATACCTCAGACAATAACCATTTACTCAATTGTTTAAGATCACTGGAGAAAACAGAAAAGAATTAACTAACAGAGGAATTATTAATGTACTCTTCAAGTATATGTGAAAAATTTTGAGACTAATGAAATCAGAAGATACAGATAAGCTAACAACGGCACAGTCTGAAAAATCATAGTTTTAGATAATATAAAAAGCTTTAGAAAAACAAAGAGGGGGCACCTGGGTGGCTCAGTGGGTTGGGCCTCTGCCTTCGGCTCAGGTCATGATCTCAGAGTCCTGGGATCGAGCCCCACATCGGGCTCTCTGCTCTGGCGAGGAGCCTGCTTCCCCCTCTCTCTCTGCCTGTCTCTCTGCCTACTTGTGATTTCTGTCTGTCAAATAAATAAATAAAATGTTTAAAAAAAAAAGAAAGAAAAACAAAGAGAATAATACTCAACTAGATAAGATTTAAAATATCTTCTTAGACTGGGGCGCCTGGGTGGCTCAGTGGGTTAAGCCGCTGCCTTTGGCTCGGGTCATGATCTCAGGGTCCTGGGATCGAGCCCCACATCGGGCTCTCTGCTCAGCAGGGAGCCTGCTTCCTCCTCTCTCTCTACCTACCTCTCTGCCTGCTTGTGATCTCTGTCAAATAAATAAATAAAATCTTTAAAAAAAAAAAATATCTTCTTAGAAATCAGAGTTTCAGAATGCTGACTATACTTAAACAACAAAAGTATAAATCTGGTTCTTATTTCTAATTTTAAATATATTTAAACATCATTAGTCTTAGTAATCCTCATCTTTTCACCAAATTTTCATCACTGACGTGCAGGTCCATTTACCTTGTTATATCCCCAGGAGAGGATCCAAATATGAAAGATGTATTTATAACCACTATTTTTACTATTAGTTAATGGGATTATCCCTTAGTCCCCCCCAGTATAGATCTGTATAGCATTCCATATGGAATTAAAAGACTTCCTTGCATGGATGTATACCATCTGAAATACTTTCACAGTGAGGTTAGGCTGATGGTTGTATATGGCTGACCTTTCTGACTGCCCATACACAGGTCCATAGCAAGTAAAGTACTACAGAATATAATCCTTTTTTGTTTGTTTGTTTTTCCTTATTCCAAATGAAAATATGAAATATACTTCCTTGGCTAGAATTTGCACTTACAGTTTAAACAACCCATTCTCTTAAATGCCTAAATTCTAAGATGGATAGATACTACCTTGTGTGTCTTTACATGTTATCAAATTTGAGTGGGATTGGGGGGCACCAAGAAAGTCCACCTGGAAATCAAAACAAAACCTCAACAAGCCCTTGGAAACCCCAGAGAAAAGTCAG